GCGAATCTCCAAGTTTCCCAAGCTGCCCCTTAAGTCTCTTACATTCTGTAGGCATTCAAGAATGTCAGAAATGTTGTCAGAGGAATCAGGCTATGGTTGATATGAATCTAATTTACTTAAGACTGTAAAAAGATCCAGAAGCCATTTCACCAGATTCCACAAAACAAATCAACAATATCAAACTGATTACAGGCTAGCTTCCAAGTAATTCCTAATTAAGGCTATTCAAGATTTTGTTGTGTAGTTGTGACTTTATCAGTGCAATAATTTTAGACTGAGATCGAGCATTGGGCTGCTTCTGATTTGTCCGACGATATAAAGATTTCTAAGATGCTTATCAGTTGCAGCTTCAGCTTCTGGTTTGGATTTCCGATTAACAAACAGTTGACTGAAAGTTTAGTGAAAAACTTACACCTATTTAAGGGAATACCTATGTAGTTGCTTTCTGGCAAGTCGAGCGCTGAACTAATCCATTTCCTAATGCCAACAACAGCAGCTATTAACTATTTAGTGTGAAGAGCAGTCCCATTATCATAAAAAGCGTGCATTATGTTTCAATTGCTGTCGAGCAGCTTCATAGTTCAATAAATCAAGTGCATTTTGCTTGGGGAGGGCTCTAGACAAGTGGGCGTGGTCGTGTGCTGCCAGTGAAGCGCATCCTCGATGTCTGGCAACCACTTGAGCCATTCGACCACCGAGCTGACTGTAAGCCCAGTGGCCAGTGGCCAGTGGCTAAGAAGGGGCGCGTCTTGCAACGTCTCGAAATGTTGCGGCCCATAAAAACGAGGGCTCACAACCCAAGCTCAATAATAATAAATTTTCAATCAGCAAATTGACATCGTGATTCTCAACGTATTGTCAACGGACAGTTGAGGGAGGGGAGTACGGTCAAGTAATCATTTACAGACAGATTGCCAATGCTGTTATCTATATTAAAGTGGTCTAGCTCGAATCCAACAACCACAATTGCTTACCGCTTGATTTCACTTCTCATTAAAAACACTGATTATTGCAATCAATAACCAATATTCATATTTGAATTTAAATGTACAAATTCACCTTGTTTCGTAACTATAATCGTTTATCTGAATATATGGCAAATCTATTCTTCTTGGAGCCTCCAAGTCAAAGGGCAACCAAGAACAGTCTCAGTTCTCAGGGTTATCACAGTTATTCAGGGGGTAGCTAAAATTGGATTGATTACACTGAAGAAGTGCAACGACTGGCATAACGCAACAAGCCTAGAACAGCACCTGACTACAACTACACACACACACCACCACACACAACAAGCACACACATACAGAGCGGGTCAGAGGGGCACATCTAGGCATAGGTTGGAGTTGGGTTTCCGTTTTGGGGCAAATTCATGGCACTTCCTATTTTGATTTCCGCACTTAAATTAAACGCTCGATGAAGCGACAGTTTGTTGGATGCTATCATAATGAGAATTGAGTTTCCATGGAAATTAACGCAGGGGAAGTGGCGTGAGGGATAGCTGTAGCAGGATAGCTGTAGGTAGCAGCATACAGTGGGCATTTGGCTTGCTGCAGTGGCAGCGTCGCCAAATTGCAAAATGATATAATTCAATGAGAGTTGATTAAATTATCAGGGCTCGAGGCGGGTCTGCGCGCTACTAGGCGTGGCGTGGTGGTGCGAGGCTGTGTAGGGTGAAGCGGAGCAGGCGCTGTGCGACCCTACTTGCAACAGAAAATTTTGTGTTCCTAATGTTGTTGTTGTTGCTGTTCTTGTTGTGTTGTTGTTGTTGTTGCCTTGTGTGCCTTGTTAATGAAATTTTCCGCTCCTTTGGCAGACGTTTGTTTACATGTGTGTGTGTCTATGTGTGTGTCTGTGTTGCTATTTATTATTGCAAATTGTTGTTGTTGGTGGTGTGGTGGTGCTGCTGCTGTTGCTGCTGTTGCATCGCCTTTTGTCTGTTGTTGCAACTGATGATGATGACGTTGACGTTGCATGATGAAATAACAAACCGGATTAATTTGATTTCGTTTGCTCCGGAATGGGCCCAGCTCAAGGCAAGACGAGAAGACATGGCAAGGCTTTGTGAGCTGCCCTGCTGCCACGCCCAAAAAGCTCTTAAGTGCAACTCGTGTTGCCCTCAGTATTAGAGGCTGCGTGTGTGTGTGTGTGTGTGAGTATAAATTAATTTAGCAGCCGTTGGCAGCTCCGCTCCAGACCAATTGGAAGCCACCTGAGCAACGGTCACAGCCACAATCACAGCCACAACCACAGCAACAACCACAACTGCAACTACAACGACTACAACAATCACAGCTACAACCACAATTACAACCAACATTAAATGCAAGTGGTAATCGCATCCTACAGTTGCCTCGATCATCATCGATCCAATTCCAATAAATGTACTTCACGCTAACCAAGCACTGGAGCCATTTCACAACTGAGCTCCATGTGGAGCACAACAATTCCAGACGGCACGGCAATTTTCATTTAATTATTGAATTATAGACTTCTTAAGAGTAGAAGCAATAAAGACAGCGCCATCGGCTCTAATTGCTTTACGAAATCGATATCTATCGATATTCATGAAACTGCAGCAGTTATCGATCAAATGAAGTAAACTTGATCTGCTCGGATATACGAGATGGGCTATGTGGACTCGGCTGTTGATCCTGATCAAGAATATATACACTTTATGTGTCTGTCTTTCACAGGACTATTTTAGCCTTTTTGGAATGGGTTCAGGGTATAAACACATTTACAGCATAAAATGCAGATCTTAAAAACCTTCCGATTGTTCCTATGGCATATATATATATATATATATAAGAGTTCATAAGAATATTGTGTGCATAATAACAGTCGCTGTGGCACACAGAACCAGTTGTTAGCTTGACATTAATTGGTGCACTCCATCGAGTGCCCACTGTAAGGCATGCATTTTTTGCTGCTATTGGCAGCACTTAAGTTGCACACTGTTCCACACTGATCGATTGCATTCTGTTCCATTGTCATTCAGCGTGGCACTTGGCCAAACTGCAGCGTAGCCACTAAATTTACTGGGCTGCAACGAAGCGCACTGAGTGGCTGCCAGCCATTTTGGGCGCTGCCAATTTCTCAGATGTCTAGATTTATGAGCCAAGTTGTCAGTTGGCCATGCATAGAGCATTACACAGTATACATATATATATATATATATATATATATAGATGGTTATGACGCCAAATGCGTAGGCACCTAGCCGCCAAACTTCCAATCCCAAATGCCCAAACACTTTGTCTTCGTTTACAGAGGCTGAAGCCACCCTGATACACCCACAACCAACCAATCCCCAATGCGATTTGTTGCGATTTGTTCAATCTCTCAGTATTTTTGTTGGCCACGTCTTTGGGCCGTGCCAAAAAGAATTTCAGCAAAAATGTCGCCACATTGCTGTGCAGACTTTACCAACACTCCACTATCTTTAGACCTCACCTCCTGTCTGCCCGGCCCCTTTACACTTTTTGCATGCCAACCTATTTTGCATATTTTGCTTTTTATTATAAATTTTCATTTTTGCTTTGCACTGGTCGTCGTCGTCGTTGTCGTCGTTGTAGCCACTTCTGCCTCGTCGCCAGCCCCGATTTCACTTTAGTGGGCAATCTTTATACCCAACCCAGTCTACCCTTTCCATCTGTCGCTGTTTGCTGGCTGTGTCTCGCACATGACTAATAGCAGAACTAAACGATTTGATGGACCAGAAAAATGATGACTTCTTTTTCGGTCTTCGCCAGTCTTTCAAAACCAGAGGGTTGGACGTACTCAGGTCCTGCGTCCTGCGTCCTGCGGCCTGCGTCCTACGTCCTGCGTGCTCTGAGCTCTGTGCTGTGTGTGAGGGTTGCTAAGTCAAAGTTAAATCCTTTGGCTTGACTCTGCCCCGCGCTATGCATATAGAGTGGTTCTTTCACCAACTCGACGTCCTTGCTCATCCTTTTCTTTATTTATTTTATTTTTTGCTTGTGGCAAATCCTTTTATTGTGACAGTTGTTGTTGCTGCTGCTGCCGGTCGCTTTTGTGATCAACATTTAATGTTTTCTTATTATTGTTGGGCTCTGCTACTCACTGCTGTTGTTGTTGTTGTTGCTGTTGCTGTTGCATGAAAATCGGTTTAATGTTTTGGAAGATAATCTAATTTGGTCACTTATATGCGAATATGTATATTATTTGCTATTATGTGTGAACACAGTTGCCATACGGGAGTCCACTCTAACCCCCCACCCCACCCCTAACGGTTACTATCTGTCTCCCCCAGTCTCCCTCCCACTCTCCCCCACTCTCTCACTGTCTATCTCTCTCGCTCTATCTTGTCCCGTTGCCATCGTCTTTCATGTGGGTGCTAAAAGCCTTCACGGTCCGAATGTATTAGCATTTCGAATACATTCCATTTACATTTTTTCAATTTCAATGAGCTTTTTATTTAATAATTCGCAATTTGCATGACATTTAAGCAGAAGAAGAACAACGACAACAGCAGCTGCAGCATTTGGAGGCAACTACGAACGGCCAATGACCAATGACCAAATGGTCTATGTTCCTAATGGGTAGCCCTTACCATATGGTGCAATTATCAAGTTATTCGGGGCATAACATTTAATACACATTCGAACAGCTTAAAGCGAGATTTTGAAGGCTACCTGAAATCGTTAAAGCTTTGCAAAAATGTCAAATTAATTTCCTAAAATTCCCAAAGAATCCTGTATTCCTATATTAAATAAAGTGTGCGAGATATGGCATTTTCCTTTATATCTCGAACATTTCCCTGTTTTCAGCAAATCTCTAAAAATTTAGAATTAGAATCCTTCTAAATAATAGACAGTTGCAGTTCGTTTCAGATCTGCCAAAACCTAATAGTTTTGAAATCTAGGCGACTACAATTTGAAATTCTGCATAAAAAATATATTTTTTTCCGAATTTGTATAAAGTGTGAAGACTTTGTCGTTATTATAATCTTTAATTACGTTTGCGTTTTCTTGCTTTTCCAGGTGTGGTTCCAGAATCGCCGGGCCAAATGGCGCAAGACTGAAAAAGTCTGGGGCGGCAGCACCATAATGGCCGAATACGGTCTGTATGGGGCGATGGTGAGGCACTCGTTGCCCCTACCGGAGACCATACTCAAATCGGCAAAGGACAACGATGCGGTGGCGCCCTGGCTACTAGGTATGGAACAGAAATGTAAATGCAACAATCTATCAAACTATCAACTTTGCCAACATATCCATGAATCCAATATCGAAATCCAAATCCAAAAACCGTAAACCGAAAACCCAACCAAGCGAACTAAAATCTCTCCTTCTCCCCTACCCGTATCCGTATCCATATACATATCCCCTACCCCGCTCACTGCCTATAAATCGCATTGCATTGAGGCAACTTTAATTGAATTTTGAGCAAGACAAAGGGCAGCAGCTCGGGGATTATAAAATGATATACGTAGCTCTGAACTTCAGATGTCCTTCAGATGGCCTGTCGAAAATTGTGAGCATATTTGGCGTGCATGTCGCCCGGGCCAGGATGCATCTTTCGGCGCGTCCTTTTTGTCATCATATGTTGCGCACATTTTATTTGGCTCTGGCTTCTGCCTCAAATGACTTTGCGGATTAGCGAGCTACAGCTCAATGCTCAATGCTCAATGCAGGATTGGGAGGAGGGCACCGGCCGGGGCTGGGGTATGCGTTGGAGTAGGGGTACCGCAGCATTTAACAAGTGCTTGTGTCGGGGTCACGGGGGTTGGTTTTGACTTCAGTTTTGGCCTTTATTTGTTAATAATCGCTTAATAAATGCAAAATGCACACGCGACGCCACAGCGAAGGGGGTTGATTCTCGTAGGGCAGGGGGAGGGGGTGGTTGGGTGGGTGGGTGTATTGTGTACTGTGTACTGCTTTAATTTGACATTTATCGTTTATCTATTTCAATTGTGTGAAAATGTTTGAAGGGAAGCCAATGGTACTGCAGGTCTTATTGGCACTTGTCTTCCCCAGCCACATCCCTGCGTTGCAGCTCTCATAATGCTTTGGGTGTTTCGCAAATTAATTCCCAAGTAGCCGCCGCTTTGCGCCTTAAGTGGCTTAAAGGCTCAGCTTTGAGGTTAGATGCGAACAAATTTTAATTAAGTACGTGTATCTCCAATTAGTTGGCAATCGATGAGTGGGACAGAGAGAGAGAGAGAGAGAGAGAGGGATGCATACGAAGTTAATATGCTCAAAATGCTAACAGCAAAGCGATCCCTAATGACTTTTATTAGATGCTTTTCTATGGGGATAATGTTAGATATGACAAATTTAATATCCATATATATGTGCATAGGCCAAGTGCAATTAACATTTAACAATTTTGTATTTAGTTTAAGCCATCTGTTCTGCTTGCTGCAGCAGGTCCAGGATTAGCTATAAGTGTTTTGATAAGATTATTCAGATTGAGCAGCTCTATAAGTTACGTAAGACTATTTTATTTGCTTGAAATAAATTTCTCATAGTTTAGAGTTGGAGTTCTAGTTGAGCTCTAAGTGAGAACGTGTCCCAAAAAGTCTACTCCAATCAGAGCTAATAGAGACAATAGGTTTATAAACACTCTTTTCCATTCTAACCTAATTCATTCATTCCACTTTCCACATGCCCAGCTCTCTCTCTCTCTCTCTCTCTCTCACCTCTCTGACCAGTACCCATTAATGTGGCCACAGAAATAATGAAACACTATCTCTCCCTCTCTCTCTCTCTCTCTCTCTCTCTCTCTCTCTCTCTCTCTCTCTCTCTCTCTCTCTCTCTCTCTCTTTCTTTCTCTCTCTATCTCGCTGTGTACATTTCTCTTTCTTGGGACAGGCATGCATCGCAAGTCAATTGAAGCTCAGTCAACGCTGAAGGACGACTCTGGCGTCAGCGATCACGAGGATTCAGCCGGCTCCAAGTCGGTGCACTCGGATGAGCTGCGCTCGCATTCGCGCGCCTTAAGCTCCTCTACGGAATCACTTAATGTGGTCAGTCCGGCGCCGAGTAGCTGTCCGACAAGCGCCTCGACAGCGCCACCAACTTCGACGACGCCGCATGGCAGCAGCGGCTATGCGGCTGCCTCATCGGCGGCAACGACGCCTACCGGTGCCACCACCAACAGCTCCAACTCGCCCCACATTGAGCTTAGCTCGCCATCGCCCCAGCAGCAGACGCAGTTGCTCCAGCACCAGCAGCAGCAGCAGCACCAGCAGCAACACCAACAGCAACACCAGCAGCAGCAGCAGCAGCCACCAGTTCAGCTTTATGCAACTGCCACACCCAGCTATCATCCGCTGTTGGATGCGGCGAATGCGGCGGGTGCTGGGGCTGCCGCCTCCAGCAAGGACTTTCATCTGATTATGAATACAGCGGTAGCTGCTGCCGCAGCGGCCGCTCAGCAGCAACAGCAGCAACAATTATCGCCCGCAGCCCTGCCGCATTCGGCGCTGCATGCTCATCATTTATCTGCCGCTGCGGCAGCAGCAGCGCTAATGGAACACGATCCAGATGCGTTTAGGTAATTAAGTCAAAAACAACATCAAATTACAGATATATGCAAATTCAAATTCAAATGAAGTGTAACCAAAAAATAACTTTTTGTTTTTGTGAATTCATTTATTTATTTCGTTATTTGCAGAAACAACTCGATTGCCTGCCTGCGGGCCAAAGCGCAGGAGCATCAGGCGCGTCTTCTGAATAACGGCGGACTCTTTCTGCAGGTGCGCAGCTTTGCGGCTCAGGCTCAGGCGCAGGCGCAGGCTCAGGCTCAGGCTCAGGCCGATATGCTCAAGAGCGAGGAGCGGAACAATAACCAAATGATGCACGTGCAGCAACAACAAAAAACCGTGGCAGCTGGGCTGCCCATCAAAATGGAGTTAACCTCCAGTGGCGGCAGTCACGCCTCCAGCGATGACGTGTGACGTCATACGTTGGCGCTGCCAGACAGTTTCCACGCAGGTTTCCGCTAAGGATCTGCACGAAGACGTATTTTAGCTGTAGAGAAACACACATAAAAAAGTAAATAAAAAAACACTCAAAAAAGAAATCGATTTTTTTTAATAGATTTAATATATTTATTGTCATACATTAACCAAATTGAAAACCAATTGACTTCATATGGGGACGCGAATAGTCTCGAAATCCATATGATATGATATTTTAATTTAATGTTTCGATTAGCTCTTAAGATCCAAGAATGTAATATTTTTAATAAATGCATAATCAACATATCAACATTTGTTCTAATTATTGCTTGATCGTTTTCATCACTAGAATGGTAATATAAGTGATCGTCTTCAAAATGAGATTCATGAATTATTTGCCAATTATTATTGCACGTAAAAAACGAATAAAGTTGTTGAAATTTCAGTTATTTGCTGAATTAACCGTTACGAGCAAGCTGCCAGACTTTAAAAAGTAAATTTCACTTAGCTTAACTGTTATACGCTCGCCAAATCGACACATAGATGGCGTTGTACGCCGCACCCGTCGTAGTGTGTGCCACTGCTAACACCCAATTCGGCTTCACTAACAATCAATTTAGCTGCGATAAAAAATTCAAGCGAAACCAGTTTTTCTATCGACTTCAAATAAAATTGCTATCTTCTGACAAATTATTTCTTTAGATGAAAATCTATTTCGGCTTATCGAAATAACGGTGGGGATAACTATCGATTGGCTTAACAAGATTTTAAGATTTCCAACAACAGCATGAAAAACTTATACAAAAGAAGAAAATTTGACAACTCAGGCCTAAGTTGGCCATTTCAAGTACAACCTGGATGTCCTTCAGAGCAATAAAACAATTAAATGAACGAAAGTCTTTCAAACAGCTGAAATAATTTGAAAAAAAAAAAGATATCTAAAAAGTTTTAGTATATTCTGAGAATATACGGAAAATGTGATTTCAAGGCAATTTCGTTCGCTGTGGAAAGTAAATGGTTGCGAGATGATCCTTGAATGCAGATCGATGGATTCTAACTAGAATTATTCTAGAGGTTCTTGGAGGTTTTTCATTTTCGCAAACACTGCTTCAATATTGATTTATTTAGCCTAAAATAATGTTATCATTGGTTCAGAAACTTTGATTAATCATGTTTGGATAGTTTGAAATGCACATTAGCCGCATAATTAATAATAAATAAAAAAAAAACACTCAGTTTATTTTTAATTTGATCAATTATGCTGATTCCCTTTATATAGCTATATATATATATAGTCATACTTACACTTAACATTCGTCACACCGATTATATTCATAGCTGTATAGGTTATTGATTTTAATAAATACATTTATTTATGATATCGTATTATGCTTAACACATTCCAAAACACATTCCAAAAAGGGGTAAATTCGTACGTTAGTCCTTACAACATTCAATGCTAATTCGTAAGAGGCGATCCAAAAGAAGTACATCAGTAATTAGTATAGTTTGGTATGCTCTATAAATGGTATGTGGAAGGCTCGATAATATTAATAATAACTCTAATGGTAATACATAATAATAATATTTATAAATACAAAAATTTCATTGTAATACGCTTAGAGTCTAAATTTTTGGTGAACGCAACAAATATGCGGCAAAATGTTGTTAATAAATAAATAAAGGCTTTGCTAACTTGTAAACTAATTAAGGATTACGAAAATCCGCACATGGATAACGAATTGAAACGAGACAGAGAATGATAAAGAAAGAGAGAGAAAGCGAGATGTACATGCTATCTCACTCGCTGGGCAATGTCGATTTTGTTCTGGCGAATTGGGGGCTTCTCAGGAGCTAGCAAAGATCGTCTCGCAGTGCATGATCAGAGAGGAGAGCATGAATATCTCCTCCGTGAGATTCGTCATGTGCTGGGGCGTGGCAATCAGTGTGGGCGCAAACACAGTGGCCAAATTGTGCTCGTTCATCTTGTTAACGGCATAATGCGAGGCAACGCTGTGAATGTAAAATGTACATGAAATTTCCAATTAGAAACAGATGTAGGATATATAAATATAGCGAATATTTAAATTATATGCACATGAAGCTATTGCTGCAAGCTGCAGAATGAATGCATTTATGGCGTTCAAAAGTTCAGCGTTTTGGTTTCCATCACGATATTCACCATATTCACAATAACGAAAGGGAAAGAGATCGAAGAGAATGGAGTATTCCGTGTGTGATTGAGTTGTCAAATTTTAATGGCAAATTAATGATTATTGATTATGGGTTGAGGCATGGCCACGTCCTGCTTTGTGGTATTATTATCATGCGCTAACTCACCGCTTGAGATGCTCCAGCATGTATTGCAGGCAACTATAGTGGGCAGGCGGTAGTCGACGCACTGCCTCCGCCATGAGCTGCAGCTGTTCCGCTTGCTTGGCGTTGCCTGTAATGGTGGGAGCAACATTTAACAACACATTCGTGTGATTAATAGATGGGGCTACTCACGACCTGCGGCCATAAAGTTGGGATACGCCTGGAACGTGATGAGCGGCACGGGCAGCAGACGCAGATATAGCTTCAATGTGCCCGCAATGACGTTGACATTGCCATAGGCCACCTCGGACATATCAGTCTTGTCGCCATCGCGATCGAGGGCCAGCTTGAGGGCATCGATTTCATCGGCAAAGCCGGAGACGCGATAGATGCCCTCCTGGAGCATGCCGCGCGCCTCCACCTCCTCGACACAGCGACGGACGACAAATGGTATGTTGCATTGGTGCAGCTGCACCATGGTGGTCAGATCGGTGCCAAATACACCGCGTATGCACTTCAGATCTGGGACACACTTGGGCGGCACCAGCTCCGAGCACTTGTTGTGCGCCATAAACCCACAGGCATCGCACTTGACGCCCTGCGCGGTGAAGCCCCATAGAAAATTGGCGCAAAACTCACACCAGTTGAGCCCCTTGAAGGTGTGCACCTTGAAATGGTGCGGCTTTTCATATACCAACGGCATGGGATCGACGGCAATCTGTTGTTGTGGCTGCTGTTGCTGCTGCTGTGGCGTCTCCTGGCTGATCTGGCCTGACACTGCCACATCCGCATCCGACTGGACAGCAACTGTATCACAACAATCATCAGCTGCGACGCTGGCCTTGCCCAGCTCATTGGAAAGTGCGCGCAGCTTGCGACGATTAAGTGTCATGTAGGGACTCTGCTGATAGCAATTTTTGGTTTGCTGATTTATCTGCTGTATGATGGGGCTGGCGTGCAGCTGCATGTGAAAGTTAATTAGCCCATCGGCGACCATTTCGTGCACCGTCTCATAGTGTTTATCCTGCTCCCGCAAATAGTGGCCCTGGCCCGGCTTGTAGAAGACCTTGTAGTGTTTCGTGCGCTTGTTGAAGCGAACGCTCAGCGTATAGTAGCCATCCGCTTTGGGGCTGCGCCGCACCAGATAGCTGCCATCGCTGGAGTTCGCCAGCAGCTGCTCGGCTTCCAGGTGACCCATCACGCCATGGTATTTGCTGCCATATAAGCGCACTGCCTGATTGTTATCCTCAACGGCGTCGGCGGTGCTGTTCGCCGGTGGCAAAAGCAGAGTCCGCTGACAGCGCACGGGATGCGGGGCCGGTGCGTCCAATTGTATTTTATACACTGACACACACACGCATACATACAAACATACATACATATATTTAATTAAGATATGGTGGTTGCCGTTATTTTCAGTTACTTACATTCGGGCTTCCAGACCTTTTGCACTGGGGAACTCGGCTCACCGCCGCCTGGCAATGTGGCGACTACGCCCGCAGCTTTCGACATGACAAGAGCAAAAGGGCGCAACTAAAAATAAGCAACGCTAAGCGCTAATTAAGGAATGCAGTTTAGCACTGTTTGAAATGCTTGAAGCTTAAACTAAAAGGAGCATTTTTGCTTTTGTTTATTTCTATTCTCAGGCCTTAGTGCGACCAGTGTGGCCGCTACATGGGGAGAGAGAAAATACCAATAAAGTTGTATTATAATAATACTAGTTTGCTCAAATGGGGAGTGCCACACCTTGCAACAGTTTCGACTGAATTAATGTTATTGAGCAACAGCTTTCTTAATTAATCGAATAAAATTACTCTACAATTAGCCCAAACTACTCTTACATTATCCCAAATTGATATCATTTTGCCTCTTGTGACTGACGCTTTCAGCACTGACCATCGCGTCTATCGATAACTGTGTGCATTCAATTAAGCTGATTGATACGGTACTGGAAATTTAAAAATTTGGAAGCACCTTGCATTTTTTTGTCGCTAGCATTTAGTATAAGTTTTTTTTGACTAGAAAAGAAAACACACAATTTTAGTTTTCATATGTTTTAATAACTTTAAGTACGTTTCTTTTGTAAAAAGATCCACTTTCATTTCTTTCATTTATTAAATACAATTATTAAATTATTTAAAAAAAAAACATGTAAAACGTCGAAATGCGCATTACAGTTACATTATACGCTTCATTAATGTAGAAATACTTGTTATGATACTCGCTGAAGACTTGAGTCCCATTATAGTTATGTATGTAAAAATCGGGCATAATTTCTTTTCTTGATAATAAACTCGTTAGATTTAGAATAATACGCAAAATTTAACGATGCGACCATTTAAATAGGTTTTTTTTTGTGTCGATGTGAATTACCCTGCATTGAACAACGGTTAAGTGTTGTGTGTGTGTGTTTGTGGGTGTATGTGTGTGTGTGTGTGTGTGGTATACTTAAGTTTGATGTTAGTCGCGCTAAAGGTTCGTCCGTTTGTCTTTAGATGGAATCGATTATATTTGCATCCGAAATGCAAGAATATATAAAAAAAATATATAAAAAAGTATACAAATTTGTGGCTAAGAGAAAACTATTGGACAGACGCTTCTGCTCCTAGTGCTGCTGCTGCTACTTAAACAAAGTGGAATCTTGGAATTGGAGTTTGGCGGAATGAACGGCTAGCTAGCATGGCAGGTGAGTGTTATTATTGTTGCTGTTCTTATTGTTGTTGTTGGTGGTTGTTGGTGTTTAAGGTGCTGGTTCTCTATCCGCTCATGACCATGCGCACGAACTCCTCGTAGTTGATGTTGCCCTGCTGATCCTCCATGTTGGCCAACAGCTGTTCGACCTCCTCATCGGTGAGCTTCTCGCCGAGGGTGGTCAACAGATGGCGCAGCTCAGCAGATGATATATAACCGCTGGCATCCTTATCGAAATGGCGCAAGCCCTCAATAAAATCATCGGCCGTATCGCCAGAGCGCGCCTTCGAAATCGCCTGGTAGATGGGCAGAAAGACCTCGAACGAGATGCGCTCATCGGGCTTCAGCTGATGTGTGCACTTCTTCACATCCGACTCGGTGGGATTCTGTCCCAAAGCGCGCAGACACTCTCCCACCTGGCCCAGCTGTATCTTGCCATCGCCGCGATTGTCGAACAGATTGAAGGCCTCCTGGAACTCTGTAACAATAAAAGAGCAACCAAACAAAATGTGTATTATATATATATATGCCGTATATTGTATATTTTTTTGCTGCAGACGGAGACAACCTTCCAGCGTGGTAAATGTGGGTTTCACGTGTGCCGTGTAATAATACATTATGATTCAATCCACGAATCTGAACCGTTTGCCTGGCTGCACTGCCTGCTACTGAGTTAGTCCGTTGCTCAGCGCACAACAATCTGTTGCAGCAGCAGCAACAGCAGCAGCAACAATTGTTGCCGTCGTTGTAGTTTTATACCCTTGCCGAGGGTACTATCATATATTTAGTGAAATAAATATTTTAGAAGCGATCGTTCTTGTGCGATTTCTCGACCAAACCAACTTTTAACTCGTAAAATCTTTTGAAGATTTTTTAATTTAACATTGGACAACGAAATCATTTGGTGACCTTTGGAAATATCTTACAAAAATCGGGTGTGTGGATAAAATGAAAAGGCAAGGGTATCACATCTTCGGCATTTCAAGTATTAACGCATAATATTTTGTTGCAACAATGCCAAAAATGGCATTAAAAGCAACAACAGAATTTTGTCCATTTTAGGCAATGAATGAACAGAGTCAGAATCCACATTCGCGTTCTCCTCGTTCGTCGTCTGTTCAGGTAAATCAATACGCGCAATGCGGTCAGCTGACGTCAATGCAACAACAACGGCAACAACAAGAACTCAATGTCTGTGACTTAAAATTATCGCCAAGCGACAAGCAATAGAATCGTTTTTGATTAAGTTATCAAAACAGCAACGAATTCCAGCAAGCAGCAAGTTGCGTAAACATATTCGCCATGTTTCTCGCAGCCACACGAGGGCGATGACAGGGGGCGGGGGGAAAGGGGTATTGCCCAGGGCCATGTGGCAAGTTGACCCACAATAAAGCGACCTTAAATGGCAGCTCAGCTGGCTCAGCTGCTGTCCAACATGGATATTGCCAAAAGTGTTTGACGCTGCTGGCTGCTGTTGTTGCAGCAGTTGCTATTGCAGCAGTCGCCGCTGAGACTGAGCTGCCAACAGTTCGCGACGGTGTCCTGGACAGGGCGGCGGCAGCAGCAATCAGTCAGTCAGTCAGAGAACAATCATCCTTCTTCAAGCTAATCGATTTTTTATGCTTCCATTTAACCGTTAATCGCTTGCTTTGCGCGTTCGTTCGTTGAGTGTTGTGTGAGTCATTGACGCGATCGTATGGCTGCTTTCGTCGGCTTTTTTATGTGAGCATATATGTGTGTTTGGGTGTATATGTGTGTGTGTGTTTATTTTATCAATGATTCATGCGCCGCAAAAGAAGATATTTAACACACACACACACACATGCACTCGCACAAAGAGACATGCAAAATGGTGACAACGTATGCACAAATACTTGAGCTGTTTTTTTTTTGTTCGTTGCGTTTCTCTTGTTGTTTTCACTTTGAGTTGGCACTTTGAACTTATGCGCCCATTTCTAAACCAACACCCACTTACGAACACTCACACACACTCAAAGGCACACACAAAACACTCATGACACACACTCACCAGCCAACTGATCCTCGGTGTAAGCTGCCTGTAAAAACAAAAACAACAAAATTATTACACTCATTAATGTGTATATAGTGCACACAATGCTGCAGATAGCTGCAAAAATAGATTTATACAACTTACCATGTTGATTTAATGTAAGGAAAACAACACAAAACACGGGGTAAATCGAATGCCAAATGCACTTAATCCAAATTATTAGTTGGCGATGGTAGTGCCAGTGCTGCAGAGAGCAATCGATAACGTTATCGGAAAGTATCGCACTTGCAATATACAGCACTAGCTGCAACACCTTAGCAACACTGGCTGCCACTAACACTCGTTTAAATCAGAAAGAACAAAACAATTCGTTTTATTATTTTAATCGTACATCAGTTTCTGAATGGATTCAAGCAATCAATTATTACATATTTTTACAAACTACTTAATCCAAACATGTTGACGTTGATATATAAGAATATGATTTTTTTTATTATTAAATCTAATCTAATAATTAAACATATATGCATATATATAATAATGTGGTTATTTTGTTTGATGTCGCTGGTGGTGTGTTTGTCATTTGAACCTTAAATTTAGGTTTAAATTGTGGTGAAATGTGTGAAAAATTGTGGGTTTTTGGGGCTTGTTTACTGACCAATACATTAGCTAATATATATTTATATGCATAAATATATATTTATATACGGACGCAATTTTTTATATGCGTCCGCTGCACTATTTAAATGTTTTAAAAGTGCATTTGTTTTACATTTTTTTTCGTTGAAAAAAAAAAAAAATTAAAAGTAATTGAATTTAAAATAAAATTATTCACGAAATGTGTGTGTGATTTTCTGTGTGTGTTATTTTCAGTGATTGCTACTATGAACTTGCACAGAGCAATAGCAGAGCCAAAAACCACAAAACTAAATTGAAAGAACGCTCATCCGCCTTGCTCTGTGATTTGCAGTAGCAACAACAATAGCAATAGCAATAACAATATTGCTATCGCTCATAATTTTTGCTCTTGCTTTGAGCAAGCGAATGAGCAATCTTTCAGTTTTGTGCTCTGTTATTGCTCTGTACAAATTCATAGTGGTAGCAATAGCAGAGCAATGTTTCTATTGTTCTTGGTGCTACGGAGTAGTAAATTCAATCACTGGATATTTAGCAGGAAACTCTAAGTGTCCGACTTCCACAGTTTTATGGTCTTGTCGTTTTCCAGCGCAGCAGAGGCGATGATGTTTTCAGTGGGATGGCAGGCAGTGCAGAGGACGGTGTCCGTGTGTCCCTGTAACTTTTGTACTACCTCTTTACTTTGTAGATTCCATATGTAGACCATATTGTCTTCGCTGCCGCTGACGATCCACTGCAATGTGCATACAATCCAAGTAAGTAAATAAACTGAATTTGTTTGGTTTAGCTACTCACCTTGCCGCCGGTGACGGAGAAATTTGCAAATATGCAATACTTCTCGTTCTTGTGGCCGGTGTAGGTTTTCAGGCATTTGCCCTTAGAGTAGTCCCAGAGTTTCAGGGTGTTGTCAAGTGTGGCTGCCAGTATGTATTTACCGTTGGGCGAGAATTTGACAAAGCTAACGGGCGGATTGTCATCATCGATCAGCGTCTTCAGGCACTGTCCGCTGGCCGTATCCCAAATACGGCACAGACCATCATAGCTGGAGCTAACAATCAGTGAACCATCGCGATTGAAATGCACCGCCGAAACGGGATCCGAGTGGGCGGGTAGCGTCTTCAGGCATTTGCCCGTGCGCACATCCCAAATGCGTACGCTCTCATCAAAGCTGCCCGACACAATCAAATTGGATTGCGGATTGAAATTACAGCAGAAGACATAGTTGCTGTGGCCCTTGAGCGTTTTTAGACTCTTCCCACTGCTCAGTTCCCACACTTTGAGCGTCTTATCATCGCTGCCGCTGACCAGCAAACGAGAATCGGACGACCAGGCGACATCACTAATGCCCAGCTTGTGCCCGGATATGGTCTTCTCGAATTTACCATCGTACGCACCCCAGATCTTTATGAGTTTATCCGCAGCTAAAAAACAAAGCAAAGATAAATAATATATTCAATAGAGATATTGGAGCATCTATCTAACTCACATGAGCTGGCAAGCCATTCGCCATTGGGGCTGAATTTGACCGCGGAGACGGCCTTGGTGTGGCCGGCAAGCGTGAATTTCAGCGTATAATTTGGCTTCACCGACATGGAGCTCTTGTTCGATGTTGTGTTCGACGATGTCGATGATGCAGAGCCCGGCTGCAGCGTATTTGGGCCACTGGGCGTCGTGGGCATCGGTTGCTGCGGCTGCTGATGCACAACGCCAGGATGGCCACTGTGCACGGCTCCAATGGGCACCATGGCGAGCGTGTTCCTTATGCTTCAATTTAACTTAATAGCTTAACTCTGCAATAAATAATATACAAACACACACGCTTACTTAGTACGAACGAATTACAATGATCCAAAACAACAACAATAGCAGCATCAGCGGCTGCAGCTGAAACAAAAATCTAACCACGCGGTTTTCTTTTTTTTTTTTTTGGGTTATTGACAACCACTTGGCGACCGGTGTGGGAATTGCTCTTGTTTTATGCTCTACGTTTAGAGAGTCTGCGCTGCTGTTGCGGCAGCAGCGACTGCTTGCAATTTTTCCACCCTCCGCTCGTGTTATTGTAGCGCGGCGTGCTCTTCTTCTTCTTCGTTGTGGGCCCGGACGGTTTCGTATTGTTATTATTTGTGTAGATTATAAATTACCTAGAGCAGACGTTAGCGCCGGTGGCGTTTGGTAATGTTTTTTTACTATTGGCGCAGTGGGCAGATAATGGTTATGTTTGTTGCAGCAAATGCAATTTGTTTGCTTTCTGCTTACTCTACTTTTTTTAGCACGTGCTTCTTCTTTCTACTGCAATGCGTGCGTGAGCAAAAACATGGCGCGTACTTGACAGTTGTGATGACAGTTTGCGGCTGTTCATTCACAGTGCTGAGTAGCACCACTTTTAAACACACCGATGATTACTGCTCACCGCTTACGCACCAAAGCTGTTTGCTATAGCACGCGCTCTTTCAAATTATAGCGCCCCTCAAAAATATTCAACTATTTATTATTTAATCAATATGGTTTACTTATTTATATAAGGAATTGATTGTTATATCCGATGCTTATACAGTGGTACTATACTTAACAATATTATGAATAATATTTAAACAGTATGCCGCATCTCTTTTATTTCGATTCCATCAGTGTGACCAAGTTTGGGAAGACTTCTTACGAATTTTTACAGCTTAGTTGGGAAGCTGTGACGAAAAGTGCATTATGTCGATTTTAGTAGTCATTTATGAAGTGATTGCTGCAAGCATGCAACTCTCATTACATTTTGCTGACTATTTGCCAGTTGCAGCATCTGCAAACAAACATTGCACAATTACAACGTATTTGTAGTTGTGGAGGAAAAAATATTACCAAAACAATATTCTGCCTTTGCTATTGGATAACCCAATACACACACAGCTTTTGTGTATGAAAATGAAAAATTGCATCCCAGCCATTACGTTCGAAAAGGTTATCCGCATTATTTTGGCTTTTCAAAAAATAATTTTCTCAAAACTATGAAAATAAGCCGGTAACAAAAATAGAACTGTAATTAAAACAATAAGAAAAATGTATGGGTTTTTATGAAAAGTAACGCGGCACAATGGTAAATATTGTGTTGATTGACCTATGTTGGTAATATTGGCAGCACATCACATCGCCAATTGACAAATAGGCCCATCGCACAAAGCGGCATCAAGCGGAACACATGGTCTTATTTTAATGATGTAAAACGCTGTTCGCACAGGCAACATCAGTATCAATCACAGCTGTTAGTTGACTATAAAATTGTTGGACAATAATTAAATATTCAGGAGGAAGTCGGTGTTGTTGTTGCTGTTTTTTATGATTGTCAATTTGAAAATTAAGATAGAAAAGAAATATGAGATATTTGCAGAGCAATGAACCATTGCCAAAGCCAGACAAGTTGTGGAAAATGCATTTGACTATTTCTCAATTGAATGTACATACATATATAAAATATATATACCAATATCTGTCTGTATATCACACAGCAACTGCAGCAACATTGTTTGAAAATATTTATAGTTATTTTAATTAAATATAATAAACTTGAAAATAATATACATATACATAAGGAAACACTTGCACTAATGTGCGACATCTTGACCTGTAAATGACAACTTAGACTCCCACATAGCTCAAATATATTGACACTTTTTCTCAAATTAAAAAACAAAAAACCAATTTTCAATTCCAAACTAAACTTAAGATACGACTACACAAAATATACTTTTTAAGTAATATTATTTGTCAACATTGAAATAACGCAGTCTTTTAGCTCAAATTTACACATGCCAGCCAACATTTAAATAATCATTCTGAATACATTTAAATTCAAATATTAAAATAGCATTCGAATTTTAAAATTGTTTGCCACTGGTTCTTAACAAAAACTCAATGTGTTTGGTTTGGCATTAAAAATTATAGCCTTTTTCATTTTTGGTGAACTTTTTGGGGAATTGCAAAACTTAATTTTCTCAAGTTTCAAATTGTGTCTGTTGGTATTTGTGTTGTCCAAGGTCAAACAGTTTTCAATAAAAGCCACAGTAATAACATTTTATTTGCTGTCATGTGCGGGGTCTTTTCTACATTTTTTTGACTGGTTGTCTTTGTTGTAGGTTTGTGCGTTTCTTTTATGACTGCATTAAATATACGAGTACGCTAAAAATTATGGAAACGTCCCAAAACTAAAACTACAGCTCTCAGGGCTCAAAGACCACAATTTTACACATATACCCTCACATTTATAATGTGTTGATCACCTACCTAACTGAACTTGACTCTTCGCCGTATAAATGGAACTTTGTAGTGGAATCTCATATGCCGAAAGCGTGCTGATCTGTATTTTGTAGCTGTCGTAGAATTGGTCGTCAAAATAGAATATAGTTATCATTATTTAATTTCTAACTACAATATAATGTTAAAAAAAAGCGTTGTAAGCATACCAAATAAATATTTCATTGTTTACAAGGCAACTGGCATATTGTTGTAAAAATGTTGTTTTCTGTTTTTATTCGGCATTCTGAAAAAGTGTTGATTTTGACTGTTGGTTATCATTGTTGCTGTTGTATTTGTCTTTCTGTTTCGCTGTCTGTTTCTATTTCGGTTTCTGGGCTGTACTTGACCGCTTGTCGCTACTTTTTCTTCTTCTTCTTCTTCGCCTTAATTTCGACTGTTTTGTTTTAATTCAAGTTGTTGTGTCGCATAGTTAAACTTCCGAATCACGTAAAACCAACGAACAGTAGGGGCCAGTAGGGGGCAGTTGGGGGCAGCAGGGGTACAACAACGTCGGGCATAGCAAGTGGAGCGCATACGAAAATTGTTTGCCAATGTCGCGATAAAACGCCGAAAACTACAGAAACAAAGAAATACAAAGTCTAAGAATGTTTGACTAACAGATACCCTGTACTCGTTAATGCAAACAGTGTTCAAGAAATGATACGTATTGGAAAATTAGCCTCGTTTCTGAAATGGCATATTTAAATATTGCTGAACACAACAAAAGTCTGCGAATGTTTTGTCAAGTGCAATAAGCGAAATTTTCCACTAAGCCCTTTCAGCTTCCAAGTTCAATGAAGTATATGAATTTATAGATATATATATGTATGTATGTATATATATAGGAGAATTGTGCACTTGTCGTTTGTTGATGGTGTTTGACGACCCTGCTTTGACAGCTTATGCTTAGTGGGTATAGCAAAACGTGCAGAGTTGAAATGCAGACAGAAACGTGGCAAAGAGAAGTTGAATTGGGCCGCTGGACACAAACACGAATACGGGCCTGGCCACGTGTACGCTTCATAGAACATACACACGCACACACACACACGCACACACACACACGCACACACACATACACACACATTCGACCTTCCGGCACATAAAACAATTGCAAATAGGTTATGTAAATAGCACAACGGACCAAAAACAAAAAAAAATACAAAAAATTTCGACAAGCGCTGCATGAAAAGCCAAGCCGTTGTACACAATAGCGCTGCGTCAGTTCATTTAAGTCACACACACACACCCACTGCATACGTGCATACGTGTGCAAAGAGGAGGGGGAGGGGGGGGGGAGAGTAGAGATCTCAAGTCGCATTGGCGAGTGCAATGCCTTAACGCAAACTTACGAGCAGCACAATAGCAGCCCTTCCACTCCCCACCCCACCCCACCATCGCGCCCTCTTTCCACTCCCTCTACTTCTCTCTCATTACACCTCAATTTTCGTAGACAAACTTTGTTGCTGTTATTGTTGTATTTTTTTAATTTATTTTTTTTTAAATTTTTGCGAACGCTGGCAACGCTAAGAAACGTAAGAAACTTCACACACAACAAATCAGTTGCAGTTGCGAATTAGCATCGCACAGACGCGCTTTTTATTGTCTCTCGCTCGCAAGCAGTAATTGAAGATTTCATTAACTTATTGTTCTTGTTGTTAAATTTGTTAATTTTGTTGTTTTTGTTGTTGTTATTGTCGTTTGACAAAGAATGGTGCACAAAAAGGATGATGAACAGCTGATGGCACAGCGTGTGGATGAGTTGCGACAGTTGCTCAAGTCGCAGCCGCAACTACCCCACAATATCCGTATGTCAACCTAGTTGGATAGATAATACGAAATATTCCAATTATGAAGTGTATATCAAATTTAGCTTTATAACGAGTTAAGAGCCAGCTTGGTCGAAATTGCGCGTATTCCTTGTACGCTATGATAAAAATAAGAAAGTGTTATTTGGGATTATTATTTAGAATATGTAGAACATCATTTTGAAATAGTACAAGAACCCGTTGAAAAGTGCACCAAAGCTTGGATTAGAGTAGGTTTTCAGCAACGAACTTAAATGTGAATAAGAGAGTCAAATCTTCTCAAGAAAAGAAAAGTTGAAGTTCAAACAAAGCTTCTGGCTTAAATTACAGTTTACACATATTACTTAGTATAATTTCAAATAAGCTTACATCAATAAGGGAAGTGACGTTTCAATCTAAGCGCTAATTTGGCAAGCTTTTCAGAATTCTGTAAAGAATAGCATTAAAACACGTAATTAAATTGTTTACTTGAGTTTGTACTGTGCAAGGTTAGAGGTTTACACAAATATTTTAGCTTTAATTAGCGGAACCAGTTGAAAATGGAATTTTAATTAAAATGTTGTAAAATTAAGTATTAAGCTTAAATAGATAAAATACAAAGATATAACAAAGATCGGGCTTAGAGTCTACAATTGAGAAAAACTTAAAACATAATTGTTGGTCAATTAGAATGCCAGAGATTGGTACTGCTTTGCCACAAACTAAAACCACTGACTGTAGAAATCTAACCACATATCTAACTATCCGTAACTCATAATCAAGGGATAATTGCAATGTACAAATGTATGTGAATGTAATTGCCAAAGTTACGCAAGCTTTGTCCAATCGGCACTTGGCATTAAGTTGTTTAGATTCGTAAGCTAAGAGCCAAGAGCAAAGAGAGCTTGTGCAGGCTTGGCTGGGGCAGCGTGGCCACTTTTGTGGGTCAACTAACTTGAATGTTGAATGTTGCAGCTGTTGCATAACCGTTGCATCGACCACATTAACAACAACTAAATTGCACACTGTTTTTCCTCCATGCCGCAACTGCAACTGCGACTGCCGCAACTGCAATTTGGACTGGAACCGCATCTCGTCTGCCACATTGATTAGCGGCCACTTTGTTACGACGTTTCCTACACACGACGAGGGGTGATGTTGCTGCCGCACAGCGTCTGCTGCAGCTCAACTATGCCATGCGCAACAAGCACCCGCAAATCTTCATCGATCGCGATCCATTCGATGCCAGCTCCCAGCAACTGCTGCAAGTCGCGTGAGTGCACCACACAAGCCACAAGCTAGAGATGGGCGCGTGACAAAACCCTGACACGAGACAACACTTCGCGACACCAAACACTGATCCACGTTGATCAAAAATTAGAATCGGAAAAATACTTTTATGTTTGGCTCGGAACCGAAATTCGTTTCGACGTGACACACCCAAAACTAAAGCATTTGTTCATTTGCTATTTTTACATGTTATATATAATTATATGTTCTCCGGCACTTTCCATAAGTATAAATTTGAATGATGCTGTTAATGAATTTTTTTTAATTATTATATTTATATTTGGTATAATATCAATATTCTTCTTGCCGGTTTGAGTTGTGTCAGGTCGTGTTGTTCCATTTTAAACAAGTCTTCGTGTCGTGCTGTTGTTGTCTTGTCCAAAACAAATGTTTGAAACCCGAACGAGCAAAGTAAACACGAGTCTACTCATCTCTGATGCCGGTCACCACTCAACCGGTTTTCTTTTCTTGAGTTGAGTTTTGAGTTTTGTGGCAACATCTAATTAAAGCTATTTGTTGCTGTTGTTGCAGTGATCTGGTGCCGCTGCCCGGCCTGACGCCGGAGAACAACAAACTGCTCTTTTACCGCCTGATTGATTACGATGCGGACAAGGTAAGCGCGTAAGCAACTCAAGCTGAAGGCAGTCTAATTCTGTTTGTCAATTTGTCAATTTGTCAACTTGCTAAATGCAATTTGCCAATTTGCCAGTTTAACTTTACCGCCGGCATCAAGGTCTTCTTTATGGTCGCCGACTGTCGCTTTGCCACTGAATCGGGTGGCCGTCTATCGGATGGCGAGATACCCATCTTCGATATGGCCGGATATACGCTGCGCCATCTGACGAAGACGGTGCTCAGCTCGCTGCGCGTTTACATGAAGTTCGTGCAGGAGGCGCATCCTGTGCGTCTCAAGGAGATCCATGTGCTCAATTGCCCATCGTATCTGGACAAGGTGCTGACGGTCGTCAAGCCGTTCATTAAGAGCGAGGTCTTCAAGCTAATTCATTTCCATCTACCCGATGCGGATACACCCTACAAGCACTTTCCACGCGCCATGCTGCCCGAGGAGTACGGCGGGGAGGCGGGCAAAATGTCCCAGTTGAAAGACCATTGGATGCAGCTGCTCCAGCAGCAACGGTAACTTAAAGATAATCTAATAGTGTTTGTAAAACTTTTTACTGATTTTACATCCGTTGATTTCTACCAGCGAATACCTGAGCGATGCCACCAACTGGCAGTTGAACAAGTGCAAGAAGAGCGGAAGCAGCAGCAGCAGCAGCTCCTCCGATTCGGTGACGCAGAGCCTTAAGACACTGGAAATCGATTAATTGTATTTATACCAACTTTCCTGTATATATCTACATACATATTTGTACATATTTCCCCAACTGGGTTTGGCTTTAGTAAATATTTGCTTTGATATTGTAAAACAAACAAAATTCTGCTAACTTAGGCGAAACGAATGAAAAGATTTAATGAAAGATGGAGAGCTATAATTACCCTATAGCATTTATAAAATACAATAGCTCAAATACTGTTCAAAGCAAGAATGTTTCTTGATTTGCTATTGCGATCCAATTGGAGCAACATCGATATCTAAACTATATAAAAGAGTTGTGCCTAATTCTGTCTGAGCGGAATGAGAAGCATTCGCAGAATTTTCATTCCCAATGCTGCAACATAATCTTAATCAATAGCATCCACATCATGAACATCATCATCATCATCGTCGTCGTCGTTGTTGGGAGCTTGATGCAATTAAGTGGCCAACTAGGAACAGTAAAGCTTATAAAAGCCAGTGGATTTAAGCGAGAAGTCCCAGCACAGATAAGCACCGTTCATTCAAAAGCTTTCATGCACTGCAAGAAAGAAAAACCATTTATTTGATTCAACGTGCAAATTCTTCATAAATAACAAGAGTCTACTTTAAATTGTCCGTTTTTTCGAATGAAAGCAACTTTTGAGAAACTTAAGAGACTTGAACCGTGAGATATTAATTGGTTTGTACCCGGGTCATGCAAAGTATTAAAATTGGGGTGTTACGTCGCCTAGGAGACTAAGAAATCGATGAAATCACAAATTGATACAAGCAACACTGAAAGATAGATTACGACCAACATCCTTGTAAGATTGGTACGACAATTGGGAAAGTCTATTTGTGCCATAGAGTTATCAAATTTTCTACGAAATTTCTTTGGTATCTATTATCAGTTACCAGCGTATTTGACAGTCGGTGATACCCGAACAAATATTCTCAGCTGTTCACTTTTAATTTGATTATGCTTTAACTTTTTATCTAATATTGTGCTTTAGACAAATGTTTTTTGTTTTTTTTTATATATATATTTTTCAGTTCAGATTGAAAAGAATCGAGCTTCAGTGAGCCGTAACAATGGATTATAATCACAAGAACAATATGTAAAAGATCAGGTGAAGACTGCTTTCAAAGTTCACTCGGTTTTCTGCCAGTGCATTCGCATTCCATCTGCTGTGAGCACATTCCATATTAAATGTGTCTGTATTAAACATAAATACGAGTATATAGAAATAGCATACGTGCATATGCATGTATTGTATTGTATTGTGGGTTGCATATGGACAGACAGACAGACAGACAGACAGACATACAGATAGACAGGCATACATATATAAGTGGAGCAGTAGCATAGCATTGGTAGAGCACTTGAAAGCATAATGCGCATATTGACATGTCCATTGGTTGGTTTTTCCAGCCACCCTGTGGCACCCTGTGTGCGGACCGAGCACTTCAACTGGCGTCAATAGCACATTCATCCACAAAATATAGAGTGAGATCTGACACATTGCAGCTGTGCTCTCGTATTATTTTATGCTTGTCTGTGTTTGTGTGTGTCTGTGTGTGTCTGTGTGTGTGTGTGTGGATGACACATTAAAGTGCAGCTTTAACAAGTAAGAGTGCTGCAGTCGAGTGAGCTCGACTTCGATATGCCCTGAACACAGCTGTTTGATGTATTCTAGTTTTATTGGCTAATTTCCCTTTTTTCATTTTTCATTTTTATTCTTTTTTCACATATTATGGCAGATCCATGTACTGAAGAGTGAAAAAAGCCCGATTACATACATCATTTTGCTTATATCAAATGTATCGATATCCGAGGCATTTATCGACCTGGCTGTTGATCCTGGTCAACAATATATGTATACACTTTATGGCATCAGAGATGCTTCCGTCTGTCTGTTACATACTTTTGCGCAAAACCATTATACCCTTTTAAGCCATTTTCAATGGGTTCAGGGTACAAAAATGTCATGTGCTCAGCAAACCATCATCCAAAGGCATAACCCAATAAGCGATTCTCTCCTGTCCCGTCTGTAACAGTGAAGCGTGCAAATAAACATATATGTACATATATACATATATATATATATATATATGTATATATATATCTATGTGTATATATACAATGTATATAGGAAAAGCAACGCTTAACATCGTTTAACGTCATCCATCAGTTCTGAGTTTTGCGTGTGGCACTCCCAGTCCAGAGACAGAGACAGACACAGACAGAGAGACAGACACAGAGACATAGACAGAGAGAGAGAGAGAGAGAGAGAGAGAGAGAGAGACTGTCGCAAACTGCACCCTCGCACAACCGGCTTATTCGTTTATCCAAACGGAACGTGCACTGCATGCAATTGCATGCCAATCGAATTATATGGCAACTCTGCTTTACCATTTTCTCATTTTATTATTTGTTTGTTTTTTTGTTGATGTTTTTGTTTTTTTGTCTTATTTTTTTGGTAATCAACAACATAAACGTGGCACGTCCAGCCATGCAACGGCGCATGGGCAGCTCGGACGACTGTCCTAAAGGGCATATCAGTCCTGCCTACGTCCCTCTTGGCTTATCCAAGGAGTGCAGCATAGCACAGGGGGTAAATGGTTAGTAAGGGTAGTCATTTTTGAATACAGTGTGTCACTGCTTCTTCCAAGGCAATCTTATCGACTTACTATGTGTGCAGGAAATCAGTAAAATCTAAATGAAATTATGACAAACATACAAAAAAAAAAAAAAAAAAAAACTGCATAAAATTTGCGAACGCAAGAATTACACTCAAAGATGTTCAGATTTTGAAAGTCATCTGCCAAATGTTGTCATGTGTTTAAATACAACAGGTGTCAAGTGTGGCAATCCATATCGCAAGGGAGTAAATCAAAGTCCATAAACAACTTTATATCTAATTGGAATTCAACAACAAAATCAAGCAAAAAAACAAAAATCAAATCAAATGAAATGTGGAAAGCATTAGTCAGATGTACGTAGCGCATAACAATGTTATTGGTGTCTCTTGCCACACGCAAACGGGCACATGCAGCATTACGACAGCAGCAGGCAGGCAGGCAAATGTGTAACACAATTAAGGCGTACCAAACGATGCGATGCGCTGCGCTGCGCTGCGATGGGGCAAAGCGTGCAACGTGCAACGTGCAACGATTGTCGCCGTCAGCGTCATGGCAACCATCAAATAAATGGGTTGGGCAACCGGGCTGTACTGCATTTACTTTGGCTTGGGTGTTGAGCTGTTGGGCGGCATTAATTATGCTTATGCCAATGTAAAACGTAATCGCCAACTGTCCATGCCACACTGCACGCCCCCGAATCGATGTGCAAGACACAAAGCCCAAAAATTGTTCAATTTTTGCATTTAGCATAACAATCGAATGCGCTGCGCGCTGCGGTCGACCCCATTTGCATTTGCATGCAGTTGAGCAAGTTTTGGACAGCACTTTGACTTCGACTTTGCCAGGTACAAACTAACATCCGCTGCAGCAGCAGCAACAGCAGCAGAAGGAGCAACAGCAGCAGCAGCAGCAGGAGCAGCAGCAACAGCAGCAGCAGCAACAGCAGCAGCAGGAGCAGGAGCAGCAGCAGCAGGAGCAGCAGCAGCAGCAGCAACAGCAGCAGCAGGAGCAGCAGCAGCAGCAGCAACAGCAGCAGCAGGAGCAGCAGCAGCAGCAGCAACAGCAGCAGCAGGAGTAGCAGCAGCAGCAGCAGCAGGAGCAACAGCAGCAACATGGACAACAACAAGAAGCAGACAACAACGAGCAAAATGTGCAGTTGTCAACAATGGCCACACACACACAGACACACAGACACACACACACAGACGTACAGACAGCCGACAGCTTTGGTGTGTACGCACGCACACAGCGACAGAGAATTGTAGTTGTTGTTGTTGTTGTTTGAGAGAAGCTTTGACGGCGTCCGCATTCGCTGCTCGCTGCTCGCTGCTCGGCTAAGTGAGTGGTAAGTTGTTCAGTTGGCGTTTGGCAGGCGCCGTGAACGGTTACCGCGTCCTTATTGTATTCGCTGTGCGTTCGCTTCGAGTGCTCGAGTGTGGCTCCGATCTGGTTGAGAATCGCTGGTGTTTTTTTTTTTATATTGTTTTCTGTTGCTGTGTTGCTGTTTTTGTTGTTGTTGTTTGTTTGTGTATGTGTGAGAAAGTCTCTTTTATTTTAGTTTGCTAAGAGCGCGCGCGACAATTCAAACATATTTGAATCATTTACATCTTGGATTGGGTTGCTGTTGTTGGGTTGCCGCTCTCCCTGAAAGCGAGCATGCAACACAGCCCTCAGCTGTTGGGGTATGTGTTTGTTCGTGTTTGTCTGCTGTAGTATTTAAGTAGCTCCCAAAAAAGGTATGTTGGCTTTTAGGTCTAACTGATTTATGATGAAAATCTAGTCAAAAACACACATTTATGTGTATTGTTATTGTTGCTGTTTGTTGTTCGTTGCCTTAGTTTTTAGTGAGTGCTTGCCATTATGTAAGTCAAATAGTCCCAGGCCCTGTTACCAAGCACTCATTCCATTAGTGACATCAATAGTGAGCGTGTTTCGCTTTTTACGGTCTTTACATTCTTTATGTTCCCAATTTCGATTAACTACTAACAATTTCCAATCAAAAACAACAAAAAAAACAAAAAACAAAAACACTTGCATAAAATGCCGCGATAGAATAGCTGATATTACGACCACATATATAAAATGTAATTTTCAATTCAAATCTATTTACTCGCAACCATTCAAGGCTTGTGTCTAGATCAGCCACAACTTCTTAAAGCACACTTATTGGCTTATTTGCAGTTTATTTGTAGCTGTTCAGACAACAATTGTTATCATTGTTCAACTTTCATAGTATAACCTAAATATGTATTACAATTTTCAAAAGTCAACACAAAATTGTGTAAGCGAGATTTCAGTATTTTCGAATAGATGTGACAATAATAGTTCTTGGGAACATCTTTCAAGATGCTATGCATAATCAACAAATAGAAGATGCAAATTTTTAACAAAACTAAACCTTTGAAAGTTTAGCTAAAAGCAATTCACAATATTTCATATATCTGAGAGAGCATTGAAATAGAAAACTTAAAAATCGAACAACTTGCGGACTCCAATGACATCATTGAAGTCTGAAGCTTATCAGAAAGTTCCGTGCTTGTTTTTGTTTTTTTTTGTTTTTTTTTTTTTAACAGCTTCAGATGTTGTCATTGTCAGTAGTTGCTCCTAACCATCCAACATGTTCCTCGTTCCTCGTTCCTCGCTCCTCGCTCCTCGCTGCTAGTTGCTCGTTGCTGTTTCCTTTTAGCAAATGAGGCGCAAGCAACATCAACTGCAGTGAATAACCCCAATGTATGTGTGTGTGTGTGTGTGTGTCTGTGTGTGTGTGTTCCATTACTTAACACCTACAAGCTGCCATTTGTCTGCACGCTATTACACGATTACAGCAACAACAACTGACGGCTTGAACTACCCCCAAAAGACGTTGACCAGGTCAACGGTGCGAACATTTGGGTTTGAGTCGCCGGTTTGAGTATTAGTCATGGCTCACTGTTTGCCTTTTGTTATTGCATGCTAATTTCATTCAATTCCTATTAGCTGTCCACTCCCCCCCATCCCCACTCGCTCTCTCTCGCTCTTTCTCTAGCTTGCTGCCTGAAAGTATGCAGTAAAATGTGTAATCGCATTTAACATTACTATCAAGCCCAGGCCCGAGAAAGCGAATAAAACGAATGTTTAGGCAAAGAGTGTAGAGCAATGAGAATGGCCAGTGTTACAGTTAGCAGCCTCATGTACAGTTACAGTTAGCATCGTACCATGTGCCACTTGGCTGGCACAGACAAAGGCCAACAACGACAACCATCATCAACAACAACCAACAACCAACAACAAAGAAGAACTAGCTAAACACTAACAGTGCGCCAAATGAGAGTGTGCTCGACTTTCAGATACCCTGCACCCAGCTAGAATATATACAAAAATACCACTTATCTTTCTCTCTGCTGCCTGATCGTCGAGCTGGGTATGAATTGTTTAATATATATTGTTTGAGTTGAGTTGTAATTTCGAAGTGACTTTATCTCTAAAAATCCTAGCTTTATATGGCTAACAATGTTCACTTATATTCTACCTGCTGCACAGACCAAGCAGGGGATCATTATAACCCATGCAAGAGTGTGTTTTTTTTACAAGATGTATATTTTTACTTATGTTTAGCATGTTTTCAAGTGGTCGCTGCTGCAGTTGCAGTACCTGCCTTGAACACATATCGACATCAATGAATCAACGGTACAGGGTATAAGAAACGAGCAGCAAGCAGCAAAAGTAGCAAAAGCAGCAAGGCAAAAACTGAGCACCTGCACCCGCAAGTTGGCCTAAATTGGCAGGCCACCGACTCTGTTGCAAAGTACAATACATAATGAAAACAGCACACATACACACACACACACACACACAGAGATGTATATGTAAACTGATTTAGTGGGCTGCAAGCAGTGCTCGCCTTATCAAAAGCTGGCGATCAAAAGCAACGCCAACAGTTTTTTGTTCCATTCTGCTTTCTCTTTGCCTTCCATCTTTTCTGACTCGCCACATAGCGTGCAGCACACACTCCCACCACACTGCCACCACCCACCACCCACCACCCACCACCCACCATCCAGCACCCAGCACCCAGTTGCCATCACCACTTACCCACCAGGCTTCTGTGATTTCGACAATGAACACAAAATGTTGCTCTTGATATGTACACATTTACATTATTTGTTGCGAACATGGAACTGTCGTCGGCTGCTGCGGATTGAATCCGTTTATCTTTGAAAAAGTTACATTGATGTCACAACTTTTAATCACTTTTTTGTTTTTGACAAAGAATTGAGTAGGATTTGATCATATTTTCTATATTCTAGCTGATTTGTATAAGCCGTTAATTCAATATGAACTAAGTTATGACTGTGTTTTGTGGCAGTTTCAATTCCAGCAATAAACTCCTCAAATTTTGTTTGCTGATACAGTCTACTACAGCATACAACAAATAATATTTATCTGAACTATGAATTATGCCAGTTTTGATCGAAAATTGTTCCATAGTGCCGCAGAGGTTCCAACTTCGTTTTGGGTTAGCTAACAAACAAATAATCACAACATTATTACTATAATGCATTTTTGCATATGCGCTTCCGTTTCCGCTTCCGCTGGGCCATTTAACAAACTGATATTGAAGGGAAGGAAGGTCAGCCCTCAGTCAGTTTTGCCTTCGCCTTGGACTTTCGCCGTCTGCCCTCTGCCCTCTACCCTCTGCCCTCCGCCTCTGCTCATTCCCTTCTCCTGCTGACCAACACAGCTAGTAGCTTGTAGCTTGTAGCTTCCACGCGTCGTCCCGAGCAACTATTAATATTCTGCCGTTTGTTTCATATTGTTTTTCTTTTGTTTTGTTTTTATATATATTTTTTTTTTTTGGTTTTTGGGAGCTAGAGGTGATGGGGGTTTTGTGAATGCCAATTTGGCGATGGGAGCTCGTTTTCAGAGGGTCAAGGGGAGCTTTAGGGGATCGAGTTTTTTTTTTTTTTTTATTTTTTTTTTTTTGTGTTTTTGGGCCAGAGCACAATTTATGAGGTCAATGAAATTGTTGCCTGTCGCGCAACTCTCACCACTTGCTTCAAAAGTAAAAGCAATTGGGCACAGCGACGACAGCGGCGACGTCGCATAATAAACCGCGCTACCCTCCCTCCTCCCCGCCTCCCACCCCCGTTCAAAGGCGACAGGCCCTTCCACCCCCGATGCCTTGCCGCTCTGCACGTATTGCCAATGTCATTGGGGCCAATGTTGTAAAAGGTTTCTTTTTGTGTGTGTGTGCGCTTTTTTTTTTGGCGGATAGTTTCAGCGCACTAGAAAGTTATGTGCGGGAGGGGTGTGGGGGGGGGTGGTTAGCAAGGGGAAGCCCACTCTAAGCTGCTTTGCGCTGATGATGACTGAGCAGTCGCAATCCTTAGCAGAACCCCCCGAATTGTTGCCCTGCTTACTGCCTGTCAGCTTGCTATCGATTTTCAATGAATGTCGCCAAAGTTGTGGCTTGCGGCCAACTAGGAGCACACACTGGACAGGCTGGAGGCTGGCTGTGCTCGTCCAGCATATTTAAAAGCTGTTAGATGGCTAAGTGATTTGGGTGGTTTAAATCATCTGTCATCGCGTTAAGCAACTTCTCCAATAAGCTGATGCCGCCGCATCGAAACTATATATGAAAACTATAGCGAAAAGTTTGAACGATTTTGCAGGCATTCATTATTTCATTATATTTAGCTGTATTAAATTGACTTTGATGTGGGTACATGATATGGGCTTGGCAGCTAAGCCACTCACAAGTGCATGGACTTAAATGTGGTATACCCATGAGTACACTCGCAGCACTCATCAGCAAATGCCTCATGTTTTTCCATTAGTCGTTTCATATAAGTTGACAACTTGTTGCACTTATTCATTCATTCATTATGCATACATAAGAATAATCATTAATGTGGTCATCACTACCTATAGTCCAAACATAATTTCTGGCTAAGAATGAATCAAAGGAATGCAACTATGGATTACCATATAGTTTAGCTACCAATTGATAGATTTTCCAAATGAATAATTCCATTTAGATGTGAGCAGGTCGAATTTGATCTGTAACAATATTTGATCTCTTATAGATCAAAATTAAAAGTTTCTTAAGCTTAATGGAAAGATCAGCTTATATACTCATGAGTGCATCCATGATGATGATATGAGACGAGCTTGCCAAAGAACCTTAAAAATCCCATGGACCCACTCATGAGTGTATTCATGCACATTATTATATTTCAAGAAACGCCCGTGCGGCGGCAGCTCTATGTAAATTTAGACTGTCACTTGGAGGCACGAAACACACACATGCACACACACACACACACACATATATATATATATATATATATATATATATATATAGATATAAACTAAATCTGCGTGTGGCAACTGTTGCAAAGCTAAGCAGTTTATTACTGAACTACATCAATATTGGCGTGTATGTGTGTGTGTGCTTGTGTGTGTGTGCGTGTGTTTGTGTGTGTATGTGTGTGTGTGTGTATGTGTGAGTGTGTGATTATTCCCTCTGTTAGGCTAAATGGCAGAGCCAGCTGCTGTTACGCACTACAGTTACGGAGCTTAACTAAATTGCCAACAAAACAATGCCAAACACCTCTATAAATATAATTCCAGTAACATACACACGCATTATATATATACATATATATATATATATGTATAAAGTCAAGGTTAGCTCTGCGATATTTTTTCTCTCCACTCATTATTGGAAATCAAAGCCATTTAACCAAATGTCAATCAATGCACGGTAATTGGCAGGGGGCATGTGCACATATCTAATTTGTGATATTTTCAGATAGGCAAACAAGCCAACAACAACAACGATTCCTCAGCGGATGGATTGTTATACGCATGGATCACATTAATATTAACATATGTACACTCATAAGCTTTTGACACACACGAAATGAATATTGAATACATAAATATTGACACGCATATCCTACATATATATATATATATATATACAATATGCACAATGTGCATGTGAATCTGAACCATTGGACATATTGCCCCAAAAAGTAGGCAATCAATTCGATGCAGGCGAGCTCCCATAAATTGCCAGGGGGGAAAAGCTTTTACTCATATAGAAGTAGTCCACCATCCATAAACTGCAAACTGTAATTTTGTGAGAAAAAAAGTTTTGTTTCACTCGATTCCCAATGCCAAAATGGGGTATATTTGTTTCGTATTAAGTATTGAAATTGTTTGTCTAAGCAGTTGTTGCTTCAAAACAGAGATCACCCAGAAATTCGAATTGTTATTTTGAATGCATTGTGATTCCTAAATTCTTAACTAGAAATCAATTATTCGTATATGACAATCCCTCAGAAAACGAAGTTTTCTTGAGTTTGTTGCATAAATAATGTTCTACTTGGCAGATCAAATGCGACATCTTTTTTGTACCTCAAATTCAGCAGTTTTACAGAAATAGTTCAAAATGTATCAGAATTGCAATCAATAAGTCTTTTAAATAGAAACAGTGTATTCTGCAGTCGACAGCTGACGAGAGCAAAGATTTCACTGGTTTTTCCTGCTTTATTGCACTCAACTAAAATTATGATATATATATAAATTAATATATACATATATATATGTGTGTGTGTGAATGTGTTTGTGCTTTTATAGATTTTTTACTAACCGCAGCTTTCTCTGCAAAGCAAAAATGTCAACTTTGACAAAACAACGTCAGTTTTTGGCACAGTTTTCCCTTTAATATAGACGCATGGAGGCATGGAGTCGATGAAGTCATGTTCTAAAGCTGCAATAAGCCAATACCGTCCGTCTACTTAGTCCAAGTCAATTCAAACGAACATTCACTTACAGTTCGACATTGTAATTAAATAAATACGGCTTTGGCCGCGTAACTTGCACAAAATGTCACTCAATCAGAAAGTTGCGAGAATTAAAATATGCAAATTTTAATTACATTAGCCGAAAGCCACTTAACAAAGTGAAATAATAATTAAAAAAAAAAAAAAAAAAAAACAAATGGAAAATGGAAAATGTTCAGCACAAAAACAAACAAGAGAACCTCAAAATAGCCACGCCTTTTTAAATATTCATATACAGATGAAATTTGTTGGTATCTGGAGCAACATTGACTCCAAATCAAATTTGATTGCTTCCAATTATTGAGCTGATTATTAACTGTTTTCAAATACTAAAGTATTTATATATATATGATTGAATAAATGGTTTTTAATATCAATGTGCCACACACCATTTGTTTACTTTGTCCTACTGCAAATTCAATTGAAAAATTGTCGTCAAGCAAGCAATTTCTTAGAATTGACAGAAACTCATACTGGGCAACAGCAATGTGTACATATATATATACATATAAATTTATATATATATATATATATATATATATATATATGTATATACATATATTTATAAGGATATATACTTTGTAGTCGTTATAAATGTAATTGTCGTTGTTATTACTTCATTGGAGCCAGTTCAACGAACTGTGGACACGAAATGGCTGGCAATTTGTTGGCTACGGTTATTACACCAACAATTTGTTGCCATTATAGAATTTTTTGGAAACTTATTCCCTGGTGATTGATAGTATGTGTGCAAGTTATTGCCGTTTTACTCCGTTCTGACAAAATTAGTTACAAATATACATCCACAGATGGTGCATTTGGTATTAGCCGATTGATTGAAGCTTAACAATTTGTATGTACCATTTTCTACACTCAGAAAAAAAATCACCATAAATGTTTGAAATTCGCCAGACTTTTGGCTCGCGAAGTGCAACTCAACTTATTATTCAGAATTATATATTTACAAACTTGGGCATTCTTTTCTCAATTTTAAGGTACATTTTTGTACAATTTAGAAGAAAATATGTCAAATTTTTTCAGAGTGTATTGTCATACGTGTATTGTTTGTGCACCAAACATATTCTATTTGTTTACAATAAACCCACATAAATATTTAATTTGAATAAACTTCCTACAGCCAAACTCGAATATTTTCCTTTGAATTTCATTACTCATTTCGGAATTTTCGAAAGGATTTTATCTTTTCGACTTTTTAGAAAGAACATATTTTGATAATGGAACCTACTTCTCATAATAATAAAAATAAAACAGACAAATTTGTAGAATTGGCACTCCTAACTCCTACATTTTGGAGTTATTTCTAAAATAAAGAATGACTCTTGTTTTCAGGTCGATTTTCTAGAATGCAGATCGTTTTTTTCTGAGTGTACCTGCATATAAAACATTTAAATTGACAAATGGATTGTTATAAACATATGTAGCTGCAATTTTCAAACAAAAAATGTAAATTATTTGATATGTGTGTAAAATAATTATGAATATGATTTTGAGGTGGCATCAGTTCATTGTACAGGGTATATCGTAGTCGAGCATTCTATCGGATAGCAATCAATTGTTGTTGTTATAGTTATTGTTGCCTGCGGCAATTATGGGCAGGCTAGAAAAGGAAGTGTGCCAATAGCCGTCTAATGTGCTTCCTAAACTCTTGTCTCCCTCTCTCTCTCTTTCACACTCTCGCTGTCTCACTCTGTCTCTTCCCCAGTTGAAGGCTACGCCTGCAGGACGACGTGAAACTTACTGTCTACATATGTGTATGCATGTGTGCGTGTGTGTGTGTGTGTAAGTGTGAGCCCTAGTTGTGCACGCTGAGAACCGGGATGGATGCGCGACGACAGAAGCGACTTGGCCCAGCGCCAATTGCATCGTTCGAAAAGTCATTTGAGGACAATACCACAGTGGCAACAACAGCAACAACAACAACAACAACAAATGCGACTGCAACCCTGCAACAACAGTCGCAGCACCAGCAGCAGCATCAGCAGCCCCGACTAGTGGTAAGTCTTATATATATCTATATATATATATGCCAAATTTGAACACACACATACATATATAAACTTGCATTTGTATGTACGCATATACATAATTTCAGTGTATGTAAATCAATATGTATATCAATTATTTATGATTGGGGATTGGGGAAATTAATGAACAACAACATGTAATCAATTTGAGCATCGAATGCTGTACGCAAGCAAAATGAGCTTTACAGCTGATTGTGGCCAATTGTGGACCGTTGAGGGGGTGCAGGGCTGCAGGGCTGCAGTGCTGGCGGTTAGGCGGATAGGCGCAGCGAGCCGGGTGAATGCTCTGGGCTCTGGATGAATGCCAAAAACATGCAAATGACCACTTAGAAGGCAGGCGAGTAAAACGCTTTTGGCCAATAAACAAAGACGAAGCCTAAGCGATGCCCACAAATATTATAAAAATCATAACAATAGCAGTATAAGCAGCGGCGCAACGAAAACAGCAACAATAACAAGGAATCTCAAACTGTATGCGGGCAGTGGGCGGGGCACAGTTGAGTAGGCACACTTTCAAAAATATTTTGACACGCGTCAAATCAAATGTAAAGTGGAAGTGCTCCAAATAATGTCATTTAACAATGGGCAAAGATTGACGTATATACATATATATGTATATATGTGTGTGTGTGTGTTTGTGTGTATTTATGTGTGTGTGTGTGAGAGGCGAGAAAATACTGCCAAAATTTGAAAGTTCCAAAAGCATCGAGAGATGAGAAGTAAGTGAGCACGAGAGACAGAGAGAGCGAGAGAGAGAGTGAGAGTAAAGCGAGCTTGACACAGTGCTCATCAAACACTTAGAAACGGCATAATATGTGTTGTAAATGTTAAAATATTAATATATAAACAAATGCATGAGACAAGCTTTAAACTCTGACTGCTTCTGTTTTGATAGTTGCATCACATCAGTTCTAGTTGCCTTTATAAAATGCGGTCAAAATTATAAAGTGCAAGAATATCAATTGAAAATAAGTCCAATTTTGAAAAGCACAGTTCGCCGTGGAATTATTAATGTGTGTAGCGCTGTGGCGAAAGCTTAGCCAGTTGAGCGTGCAGCGACATTTAGTGGAGCTTTTGTGTTAAGCGCCTGCTGTTAAGCTTTTAGCAGCAAAATCAGCAGCACAAACGGCAGCTTTCTTCGAATCCGGTCACCCTCTGCTGCGAAGGACGGCAGCAGACGCCAGCAGCCGCACATAGCAAACTTTTCGGCAGTCGACGCAGCCAGTACGACGCTGACGCTGTGTGCGTGCAGTCTATCGGTAACGTAACGTAACGTAACGTAACAAATGAAACAAATGCCGATAGAGTGAGAGAGAGAGAGAGGCTGGCCGAGCGAGAGCGCGCGTTTGGAGTTTGGAGTGTGGAGCGTGAAGCGTGAAGCGCGCTGAGCGGGCGACCTGCGAAAGAAGCAAACCAAAAGCCAAGGGAAGCAAACCCAACAAGCAAACGAGCAAACGCACGCGGCTGCCAACGGCCAAAAGTGAACCAACCAAAATTTGTAGTTGACTTTGCGCTTCCCTAGCGCCTCCTCGCAGCGTAGCTTTTTTTTTTTTGGTTTTTTTTGTTGTTGTTGTTGTTTGATTGCTTGTGTTTTTTTTTTCGGTGGAACGCTAAGTAAAGAAAAATTAATGAAAAATTAATAAGGACAAGTTGGGGCAGCGAGCAGGCAGCAGCGATAAAAATACAAAAATATACAAACAAACCAAATACATTTACAGACTGGGCCAGAGAGCAATAGCATCAAGTTTTGGCACACGGTGAGTAGATGCCATGTGTATGTGTTGGTGTCTGCATGTGTTTGTGTGTGTGTGTGTGTGCGTGTGTCTCTCTGTGTGTGTGTGTGTGTGTGTTAGGGACACAACATTAACAATAAACAGAAACAGCAGCACGCTGCGAGTGCCTCTCAGCACACTATATATATACACTATATATATATATATATATATATATACATATACATGTAAAGCTGTATATATCTATATAATATTTAAATATTTATATATGTGTGAGGCTGTTGCTGCTGCTGCTTTCTTTATTACAGAATTTGCATAATAATTAATATCATGAGGCATTTGACAATGCGCAGCTTCCAACAGCAAAAAGTATGCATGAAAAATAAAACAATTCGTTGCCCTTTCGACTGGCCCCATTTTGTGTGCCTCCTTGCCTCTTGGCTGCGCCTCTGCGTCTCTGCGTTTTGTTTTTTTGTTTTTTTTTTTATCGTTTTTATACTTTTTTTATTTTGCTCCTTTTCTGTACACCACAAAATATTATAAAAATAAAGGCGAACCACAACAATTCGAAGAATTCCGTTACCAAGCCGGCTCTTGTTTATCCAAATTAATTACAATTTTTATGTATGCGCCACGGCGTGCGGCGGCATTTAATAAGAGAGCAAGCTAGACACTAGCAGACATAGAAAGAGAGATAGCGAGAGAGCGAGAGAGAGAGAGAGAGAGAGAGAGAGAGAGAGAGAGAGAGAGAGAGGGAGAACGAATGTGCGAGTGTGTGTGTGTGTGTGTGTGAATGAGAGCGAGCTGTAGCACGTGAAAAACATAGCATAGTTTTCAGCATCAGCTTTAAATGAATTCTGTTTGCATGTATATACTTATATATACATATATATAGGTATATACATATATAGTGAAAATATAGCATAGTTTTCAGCATCAGCTTTCAATTAAGTGTGTATATATATGTGCCAAGGCTTGCCCCTCCTACAATACCATATCACTTAAAATACAGAAGCGTGCCACATTTGTTGCCATTCTTTTTTATTTTTCTTAAAATCATAATTATAATCGGGGCTGCTCCAATTTTGCGAAAGCGCAAAAATTCCACACACATTTTCCTCCTCCATTTGTGGCATTAAGCTTGCTTTGCTACGCCTTTTAAGGTTCATGCAGAATGCGTTTATTTTGCAACACAAATGAAAATCATTTGATTTCACAACAATTAATAAATAATGAAATATAAATTAAAGTGCAAATTTCAATTCATTTGATGTAAAAATACAATCGAATAAGAAGCAGTTTAAATACCCTTGTAGAAATTATATTCATTCTGCTGGCAGCTAAATTTTAGTTCCGACTTTGAAGTACGTTTTAAACAATTTTCTATATCTACTTGAATAAGAATTTCTTCTTTTTTTTTTTTTTGGTTCGGTTTATTTCGTTTTATTAAACAAATGTTCGTCTTAAACACATTAAGCATCCAAAAAATGAAAATCAAAGATTTTCGTGTTGCTTAAATTGAAGTACATCAAAATTAAGCTTTCCCTTTTCAATCTCTTTAATCTCTTAATCCTTCGCTTAATACTTAATAATTGCTACTTGTATAATTCTCCAAATTATTCAACAGACAGTTGCACAACTGTTTTCATGCCAGTTTTGACTGGTTTATTCAATTTTATTTCCCCCCTCCTTTTTTATATAAAAATCATAAAAATAATTTATTTTTTATTAAGCTATAAATTCGAAGTTTTGGCCCATTTAATTGTCAAAGTTCTGCCGTTTTGTCTGGTGTGCTTAAGAAAAAGCACGAGCTGCTATCTCGTGTCACGATTGTATATTTGACACGCGCTGAACTTAGTCTTACCACCACAGACAATGAACTCGGACTGTTCGCGTGAACATCCCTCTCAGACCTCAACTGCAGCTCCAAGTTCTGAAACGCCATGTGTCAATCAGCTTGTGTGTGTTGGTGTGTGTGTGTGTGTTGGTGTGTGTGTGTTGGTGAGTGTGTGTTGGTGAGTGTGTGTTGGTGTGCGTAAGAACTTCTCCTTGAACACATTTGATGCGCTTGCAGTGCATTTCAGAATTTTAGCATTTTGGGGTGGGTGGAACGTGGAACGTGCCTCTGTCTGTTGCTCCACTAAACTATTACGTGAATGCGCAGCTCAGCTATTCAGACCGACAGCAGGAGAGGGGGGCGTGGTGGGGATGGGTTTGAGGTTATTCTGGTACGCTTGTCTTAAGTTTAAATTGGATAATTGCATTGGCATTGCGTTTAGCAGTTTGAGGGCTGGGTGAGACGATACTTGAAGCTTGCTAATGGATAGCCACCCAAACTTTTGGACTTGGCGACAAGGTCACGTTGTGGCGCTGTGGCACTGCTCCTTCAATTATAAAAGCTTACGTTCCGCATATAATTAGAGTGGTTATATAACTTATATATAAGGTGCACGGTACGCAAATGAATTAAGCACACAGATTAGAGGCTCTTAAATTAAATGGCCAAATGGCTGGTTAGTTTGCAAATAAAGTGCATTTTTATTAATTGAAGGTTAGCTAAGAGAGCAAAAAACCACACAATTCGAATTGAATTTAAGCCTGAAAGTTAAGCAAGACAAAGGGAAAGATAAAGACATAGAGGGTGGGAGAGAGATGGACAGAGAGAGAGAGAGGCGCAGATGTCAGCAGTCAACTAAAACTTTTGTTTTAGCCCAGACTCGACTCGATTTGCAGATTGCATGCTGTTCTTTTACCACTCTTCTCCTTCTGTGCTCTCTTTCGACATTGTTTTTATTATTTACTCTGATACTGAATATGGAAGAGTATATTGGTCCTCTGTCTTGAACTTGTGAAACTTGAAACTTGTAAAATATACTCGACAAAGTGTTTACAGTTTTGTGCTACGTCCACAGATCAAATCGATAATTGCACATCGATAAATCCGCGAATATCTCTCGCAAATAGCCTTTCTACAGTCACCAAATTTGAAGTGCATATTAGCGATAATTCCGATAACTAAATTGAATATCTAATTCACACAATTGGGAAGCCAGAGTCACCAAAATTTCCATTACGTATATATTACTAGTAACACCCCTCAAAAAGTGAGTCAAAAACTGCAGAATTTAGGAGTTAAACTACGAAAAGACTGGTTCTTTGCCACCTGTTAGCAGCTGGCATTGCATTGATATCAATGTATCAAAGTGCTTCACAGTCAACTGTTGTTTGTTATTCTTGTTATATTTCTATTGTTTCGGATAGCGAACCCAAAGTTGGTCTTAGTTATGGTTTGATCTTAATTCGAAGTCAGTTTCCTTAACATTTGATGACTGCTCGATTGGCATAGAAGAAGCAGCCACAGGACACAGATCACAAAGTGTATCTCGCAGTCGGCGACACTCGTCACTCCCATACTCTGTTCGATGGAAATTGTCGCAATCCACTCACAGTCCCAAAGCTAATAAAGGAAATTTAATTAAAAGCCAGTGCCATTTGAGCGCCAGGTAGTCCAGTCTGCATGCTAACTATGTCTCCACGATAAAAACAGTGAGCACATAATGTGGGTGAAGCAATGAAAAACTGGGGGCATATAAAACGAACTGTGCAACTGAGGAACTGTGGAAGTGAGGAACTGTGGAAGTGAGTAACTGTGGAAGTGAGGAACTGTGGAAGTGAGGAACTGTGGAACTGAGGAACTAGTGCAAGCGAATGATATTCATTAAAATCTCATGCTATGAATGCCATAAAGGAATTAACGTTCATTGTGATTGAGCTCCGTATTTTGGGGGGACAGCAGCATACAGGGGGTTGGCATAAGACCGCTGCTCTCATTACAATACAGGCAAAGACACACACAAACACACACACACACACACACTTGTGTCGCACAAATGGTGCCAGGACATTTGATTTCAATTTGCAAATTGTAAGTGAAAAGCGCAGATTTGCATGTCTGTGTGTGTGTGTGTGTGTGTGTGTGTGTGTGTGTGTGCGTGTGTGTGTGTGTGTGTGTGTGTGTGTGTGTGTGTGTGTGTGTGCGTGTGAGTGTGTGCGTTTATTATGATTTAAGTGAATGTTTGTGAATCAAGTTGCCATTGATCCCATTACAGATGATGGAACAAACGCTGCGTAAACAGACAACGACGCCTCGCAATCCCAATCCGAATACCAATACCAATACCAATACCAATCCCAATGCCAGCGAAGCGCCAAGCATATCGGGTGCAATGCCCAACAATTCCAATTCCAATAACGGAACTGGCACTGGCACTGGTAACAGGAACACGAGCAGCACCTCATCCTCATCCTCCACATCTACCGCCTCGTCAGCCACCTGCTCCGCGAATGCATCCAGCATCGTTGCCAAGCAACGTCCGCCTCCGCTTAAAACGGCAACGACAACCGTAACAACGACACTGGTCAGCAGCAATGAGGGTGGCCAGCCATTGCCGAATGCATCAGTCACCGGTGGTGTTGCCGGCGGTGCTGGCGGTGGCAACTATCGCGGTGCTGCCACATTAACGACACCATCAACGCCACGCATCGAGCTGAGCCGCGCATCCAGCTCATCGCACCACGAGGAGGACAGTCGCGAGAGCAGTCCGGAGAACGTTTTCGAGCAGGTAAGGCGACTTAGTTGCTCCTTCTAATCGATGTCCGGCTTAGTGGCTAGTAGCTTGGTTTTTAGAGCAGCGACACTGCCTTTCAAACACCCAGCCACAACAACAACAGCAACCACAGCCACAACAGCCACAACAACAACAGCAACTACCAGAACAATGACAAAAGCAACAAAAATATTACATTTAACTTTGGCCTGCCAATGCTTTTTATGCCCTTGCAGCCAATTACTAATCAAAGCCAGGCTAGAATTGCATTTACCATGTGAATAATCAGCTCAGCTAAAGGAATATTCCATCGATATTTGATATTTGATATTGTAGTCTGATGAAGATCAAATTTATATACCTGTCTGATCCGAATCAAAATTGAGTACACAACAGATTTCGTCATATTACCTATAATATGATATTCTGATAAAGTTATTGTTATTAATCTATTGAATGTCAACTAAAGTCAATCGACACAAAATCTATAAAAATCAGAATATTATAAAAAAAATAAATTTAAAAAGAAATTCAAAATTAAATTGAAATTGAAAAAAAATGTCTAAGAAATATTCCAAAGATTTTCTGATGTTCCTGGTAAACTGCAAGGGTATAAAGAAGAAGAAGAAGAAGAACTAGTCCAACCACAACAGCAAAATCTCGAACACCGCACGACGTTGACGTTGACGTCGCCGTCGACGTTGACGTTGACGTCACAATCGCCGTCGCAGTTGCAGTCGACGTCGCATTTAATGAATCATTTTGTGCTAATTATTTGTACTTTGCTCTTGTTTTTTTCATTTCTTTCTAACTCTCTTTTTCTGCGTAACTCTCTCCCTCTCTCACACTCTCTCTCTCTCTCTCTCTCTGTCTCTCTCTCTGTCTGTCTATTTCCTGTATGTGTCGCTTCTGCCAATGCACATGCACACCGAACTTTACAACACACGCACACACACATTCACACACACACCTCAATCACCACCGATCCTAATCCCAATCCCAACCCCAAATCCAATCCCAATCCCAATCCCGATACCAATCCAACCAATCCAACCAATCCTCCCATGCAATGCACAATAATTGGCTGTTGATTTGTTGATTTCCTTTTTCATTTGTGTTTATCTTCCTGTGCTCTGTGCTCTGCGCCTACACCAACACATCCATTGCTTCTCCGGCAAACCGCATGCTTCCCCCACCCCCCGCCTTAAACTTAACTTGCTAAAAATGTCTATGGAATTCTATGTGTGTGTGTGTGTGTGTGTGTGTGTGTGTGTGTGTGTGTGTGGTGGTGTGTATTGGGTGGTCAATGTGTTTAACTAATGCTATGAAGGTCGGCACTGGCACCCTACAGGAAACCATTGGTCTCGGTTTTCGAGAGGAGGGCGCCTTGGAGTTGCGCAGCTCAACAGAAGAGCTCTACTTTATGGATCCAGAGCAGAAGAAAGAGGAGCAGGAGCGCCAGCAGCAGCAGCAGCAACAACAGCAGCAGCAACAACAACAACAACAGGTGAGTGTGGTTGGGGATGGACCGCAGTGCCAAAAGGGCTGGCTCCCCGAAAGAATGGATTATTATGCCAGCTAACTGCTAGTTAATTGAAGGCCATAAGACTAGAAACATATTATTTTGTTATCGATAATGCTTAAACTCGGCTTAAAACCACTTCTGGCTTAGCAAACTCAACTATTTAGTCACCTAGTCACCAGCTGGTTGCACTAAAGCAATGTAAGTTTTTAGGGATTGTTGACATTTTTATACTGATATTAAATACTGTTCTGATATTAGCTCAGGACGTGCTTTAGTTGATGCCAGTCAAAGAGTTATTTAATTTGCTGTGTTTAAATTACAATTTGAATATTGTTAGAATACATCGAATAAAATCACTGCACTAGTTGTTTGTGAACAGGGTTTCTGCCCAATGGCCGTGATGCCATAATTAAATTGTTGCCCCATCCCATCCACTTACTTAAATTCCTATTGCATAAAACCCGGCAAGTTGTGGTTGTGCCACAGACAACAGCAAGAATAATAAAAATAGTTTCTGCAGTTGCCAAGGACACAATCAGCTAAAAACAGAAGAGCGAAAAAGGGGGGCGAATTTGAAAATTGACAGAACGGAAATTAAAATACTTAACATGGCATTGAGGTGCCCAAAGAGAACTCAACAGCAGCAGCAACAGCAGCAGCAACAGTGGCAGCCACAGCGGCAGCAAAATGAATTAAAATCAACAACAAAGTTAAATTAAAAATGATGCACGGTGCACTTAAAAATGCAGTTCCACTTCCACTGGCTGTAGCAGTTGCCAGTGACAGCGTCAAGCGGATGTCGCAAAGTCAAAAAACGCCACTCCCGCTGCTGCCGGCCGCCGAGTGGGTGGCAACTGACTGGCGACTTTTGGTTTGTTTAGCGTTTACCTGGAAAAACAACTGGCGACTGCAGCTGACGCAAGTGCTGTGCAAACAAACAAGCATACTTTGCAGCCATCAGCTGACAAATGCAGCAAGGATATTTACAAATAGCAGCAGCAGAAATAGCAGCATTAGCAGTAATAGCAGCAATATTATTAGTCAAATGAGCATGCACGACTAACAAATGCCCTATTTCATTTACAAGCGCTGTAATAATAAGGCACAAGTACAACTGAAAGGGCGGCTTCCGAATTGCTCATTGCCTCGGCCTTCGAAATTATCTTATAGCTATCTACAATTATCGTTATCCTACTTAGGACATTATCTAGACTGGTGCCGCGTACGTGTCTGTTCACGTCTTTATATATCTTCTCGATAAGAATCATCCTTGATTATCCTTACCATTCGAAGATTGAACATGCCTCTTAACCATAAATGACTCAACTCAAGCATGCATTGCTAAATTAATTATCTGATTTGAAACTGATCAAGTAAGTTAACAGACCCTTAACAAGTTCGCCCAATTTAGTTTATCTACTTGTGTCATTCAAATATTTTGAATGCATTTTTGAAAAATTAGAATAAAATATAAAAAATATATAAAACTATATACAAATATATATATTTATGCTCAGCACTGCAATATGTATTCCAAAAAGAAATCTGCTCGTCTTGCTTCAATATGTTTGCAATCGCAGATTAAGTTAAAATTACTGGATTCAAAATTCAATGGAGTCAAGAATAAACGAACTTGATTTAAAAAAAAAAACACTTTCTTGTCTGCCGACTTCTGATAACCTTTTTACTCTATATATTTTTCGCTTTGTTGTCCCGGAGTAAAACGATTTCGAATAGAGTTGATTAAGTTTCCAGCTGTCTTTTCCCTTTCAATTGATTCTCTGCAACAACAGGGTGAACGAAAGGGCTTGCAACTTGTTGCATACAGATCCAGAAGCAATTTCTATTTATTTCCGTGTTCCGCTTGGGAGCAGAAGGAGAAGAGAGATAGCTGGCAAGGGAAAAGGACAAAGCGTGATTGGAATAAACGGAGAACGGAACGGAAAGCGACCAATTGCCAGCGAGCCTATTAATTGAAATATCAGCAAAGTGGCAACGCTGTCAATAGCAGAGCATCCGCATATTGTTGTTGCTCGTTGCTCGTTGCTTTTTGGTGTTGGTTGTTGTTTTTTCGTGTGGAAATAATCAACAACAAAAAATGTTTTACCAACTGCGACAGCAGTCGTTGCAGGAAACTTTACTTAATTAATTAAAGCTGCCAACAAAAGTTGTCCTGCGCCCATCGAGTCCTCTTTGTGCCATGGACAGGCTATACTATCCAATACTATCCAACTGCAATTTAAAAGTTTCATTTAACGCAGCAGCTCAACTTTGTCCAAGTACATAAAACTTGTGCTAAAATCTAATGAATAACTACGATAATTATTTAGTGGAACTTTTATCAATTGGAAGCCCAACAAGGCTTTAAGAAAATGTGTTTTAAAGAATTCAAGAATTCAACAAGAATTGTTGATTAAATTGGTAAAATATCTTTATTATGTATCTTAACTTAAAACTCCTCCAAACCGATTCGAAGTGTTGTAATATGTTTCTATAATTGAAATCATATCTCTTTTTCAATTTGCAACCAATATCTAAGTACCCAAAAGAGATATTTGTCTATAAGTTCAATATATCGTTTATATACATTAGCATTTTATTTTATTTAGGTCGAGACCTTTTGGGTGTAAATCCTATAATTCGATTTGTAAATGACTAGATAAATTAATAAGTATCTCGTCAATTGTCGACTTGCAACTTGTCGCGAGGAATTTTCGATTTCATGTGGATTTTAGATGTCAGCATGGTAATTGTCATTGTCATCATTCTGATCAATAAACCTTGAAATTTGTAAATGGCTATTATACACATAATATATGCAAATCGAGCGTCCTACGTCGCTTTAATTTTAATTAAATATTGAAGACAAAGCAGCACTTGTAATTCTTCCATTTAAGGCCCATTACACTGCACAACGAACATTCAAATTGATTTATTGGTGTCTATTATTACGTGCACTCACATTTTGCACACGCCCTGCAGCAGAGGTGCACGTATCCATACGCCCCATTTAAAAATCCATTAAGCTCGATAAACCTGTAATCAAATGAATTATACCATATGTTTTATTCGACACCACTATGCCTACCTCTCTCTCACTGCCACCTTGTCTCTTGATATGTCTGTTGCCCCATGGAACCTCTGAACCAACCGACCAACCAACTCCATGGAATAAATGAAAGTGTTTGAACGCCTCGGGGCTGCAAGGTTCGGGTCGGGGTCTGGGTCTGGATCTGGGTCTGGGTCTGGGTCTGGGTCTGGCTCTGACTGACTGCAATTGACATGCAGAGTGAAAGACAAAGAATGTGCTTCATATTGACGCGTGATGTAGTTTTTTGTGTCGCCAGCTTTTTCTGCTACTTCCCATTCACTTTTTATACCCTTTACCCATTCAAAATGCATGACGGGAATAAATTGTAGCTGCGCAAATGTATTTGACAGACACAAGGCGATAGGTACACAGACACAGTTCACACACAGAATATTTAAACTCCTTAAGAATTAAACTAAAAATAAAAACAGAAAATATTTCAAGTATTTCGCATACCAATTGATATCATAATATTTTCATTGCGGATTCTCAAAGACCCCCCCAAAAAAGGTCTTCTATGAAAGTCACAAGAATATCTGTGACTCTTTCAAATACTCATTTATTTTTATTTTACTTTATATATTTTATTTTAAGTAGAAAAATTCTTTAGGCACAGGGTATCTTTTAGGCGGGCACTTTCTCTTTTGGGGCACGGTCAAGGACTGTTCGCTTCAGCGAGGCCTCAAGTGACATTCGTCATTGTCGAACTATCTTCCGCTTAGTTAAGCATTGAATGATGTCCTCTCTCTTTCTCTCTCTCTCTCTCTCTCTGTCTATCTCTCTGTCTATCTCCCTCTCTCTCTCTCTCTCTGTCAATATTGATGTTACCCATTTTGATACAAATTTGTTGTCTTTTACATTTGTGCTCGTCCACTCACTGCTACTTGATGCCGCAGGCGAAGCGGACGTCGCCACACATCTTCAAATTTGATGACCACCAGAGCTATCTGCAGCAGCATCAGCGCAAGGATTCGGCCAGCTCTGAGGTGGCCGCCCTGCTCTGCATCTCTGGCCGGACCAGTCGCATCTCGAGCGTTGGCAGCCAAGGATCGGCGGTGAGTCGCCTCTCGGCTGTGTCGTGCGTGTCGCGGTCACCTTCGCCGCACCGGATGCTACTCGAGACATCGTTCTGCGGCCCCAAGCCAGTGGAGTGCACGGATGGGGCAATGAGTGGCGCCAGCAATGCCTCGACAGCGCCCAGTTCCGCTCAAAGCCTGGCCGAGGCAACGCTGGCCGTGGAGCAGCTGCTGTTGGCGCGGACCAAACACGATCCCACCCAAGCGGTGCTCGCCGAGGGCATACAAATGATGCAGTCACCCAGCGGCACAGCGGCCGCCCAACGTCGATCCAAGCCCAACACGCTGGCCAATGGTGATGGCAAGACACGCACCATTAGCAGCACCAGCACCAGCAGCACCAGCACCTCCATCAAACCCAGCTCGGGCGTTACGAGTGGGCAGCGGCGCAGCAACAAGAGTCCCGGCCAGATGGTTATTGGCAAGACGGCCAGCGGCACCGAATATATACGGATCAATCTGCGGCCGGATCACATGTACAGCGACAAGGGCATTGCGGCCAATGAGCGAGTTGTCGAGGCGCCCAATCAACTGACTCCCGTCTATTCAAAGTCGCAAACGCAATCGAAGCCAGCATCGCTCAGCTTGCAGGCGGGTGGATTGGATGAGCATCGTCTGACACCGACGGCGAGTCCGAAGCCGTCGCGTCATGGCCATGGACGGCATGGCAGTCGATCACCGTCGCCCGCTGCACCGGCGACAGCAACGGCGGTCGCCTCTGTCTCCCGCAAGAGTTCGTTCAGTTCGCTGTTTCGCCTGGGCAAGGATTCGCCGGATTCGCCAAGGGAGACGAGTCGATCGCGCAGCAAGAGCAAAGAGCGACCCTCAACGGCAATGGCAACGCTGAGCGGTGGCGGCGGCGGTGGCGGCGGTACCGCTGGAGGCGCCACCAGCTCACAGAATGTGACGCCCAGCAAACAGAAATCGGTGTTGGCCATTTTTAAGCCGGGCAAACGTGGCAGCAGCGCCGGCACCGATGGCACCAAAAGCTCCAAGAGCTCCTCGCCCATCGATGGCGGCGAGGGGCCACCACCGCCACCGCCCGTGCCCGGTTCCGGTTCCGGTGGTGGACGGAGTCGTACGCCGGCTGGCTCGCGACCCAATAGCCGGCTGAGGTACTACGATGAGCCCGTCGAGGGTTATATACATATACCCCTCCACACGCCGCCGGAGGAGCGCGAGGCACGCACTCTGCTCCAGGGCATACAGCAGCTGTCGGCGCCATCGCCACCGCCCATCGAGCAGCGTCCGAGCAGCTCCAGCACTTGCCGTGCCCCACTGACTGCAACCCAGCCGGCGCCAATCACTGCCAGCCAGCTGGCGGCGGCAGCGGCCGCCCTGCGTCCGGTGGGCCAGCAGCGGGTGAAGGTGGCGCAGCCCAATCTGGATGCCATACAAACGATTGAGGAGCGCACCTGGAGCCTGGAGGTGCAGCGCAACAGCAGCACGCTGGCATCGCAAGAGACGCTCGAATCAGTTAGCTCCGTGGTAAGTGCACGTGCCGCCAATCTAGCTCAGGTGGTGACCAGCGAGCACGTGGCGATGGCGATGCCAGTGGCGATGCCACCGATGGCGATGGCAGTGGCAGATGTGGAGCATGGTCGGGAAAATGGTCTGGCCGAAATGCAGCGACTGCCGTCGGTGGACAGCAATCAAAGCGCCTGTGAGCCGCGCCTGGTCCAAACGGTGGCCACCGTCAATGCGCCCATCGAGGATCCCGTGGCCAAGGAGCGTCGCCGTCTGCTTTTCGCCACACGCCTCGGCTCCGGCAGTCAGGAGCAGATCTTCTCCACACAGTTCAGCATCTCGAAGACGGAGAGCCAGTCCAGCCAGCTGTCCGAGCAGGTGCAGCTGCCCGACTCCGGTTCCACTGCCTCCGATTGCACCACAGATGGACTGCAGCGTCAGAGTACGGTGATTAGGCGTCCAGATACAGCAGCAGCATCCGCTGCAGCTGCAGCTGCAGCACCAGCACCAGCACCGCCTACCCCACCAGTACCACCTGCACCACCAGCAGCAACACCGACACAAGCACCAGCACAAGCAGCAGCACCCTCCAGCTCTGAGGAGGAGCAAGCGGCCATTTTTATTAGCACCGCTGTTGTGATGCGCTCAAAGCACAAGTCCTGCTCCAATTCCGAGGAAGAAGGTGCAACAGCCACGCGTGCAACGCCACCAACTGCCCCAACCGCAGCAGCAGCTGCAGTAGCAGTGGCAGCAGCACAGGCCGCCGATGTGCGTCATTCGCGCTACCTCGAGAACTTCGATGTGCGCAAAAAGTATCACGAGAACGTGACCGTGACCGGCAGCGTGACTGGCAGCGTGACTGGAGGGAACGTGACTGGGAGCGTGACCGAGAGAGCGATGACTGGCAGCGCGACAGGCAGTGTGCCACGCAAGCCGAAGCGCCAGAGCGTGCTGGATGCGAAGCGTAAGTAGTTGTCATCAACTCCAATCCAATCCACTCCGCACCACCACAACCAATCGAGTGCCACAATTGCCACATCGTTAAATTGCGTAAGATCAAAATCGAGTTGCGAAAGGATCGAAAGATCGAAATCCATATCCATTATCCATTATGAAAGTGAGTCTCAAAACAAAAACAAAAACAGAAACAGAAAAGTACAAAAATTAAAAAGTAAAAAGTAAAAAGTTGGTTAGATCAAAACTTGATTGATTCCATTCTGATTGGAGTCCAGTTTCTGCAGTGTCTGAAAGAACAGTGTTGAGTAACGTGAACAGGTAAACTTTAGCTACATATTACGATTACAGCACTGATTGAGATGAATATATTATTGAAATGCTGTCTGGGATTAATGGATTAAATCTTTTCACGTCACTTTTCGCAGCAGCCGGCAGCGCATTGGCCGAGAGGGAAATGCAAGCGGAACAACAACTGGAATTGGAACAGGAACCGGATAAGTTCGAGGAGCTGGATGCATTGACGCCACCGCCGCACGGTGAGCGCTCGGAGCGCCATTCGACAGATGATCACGAGCCGATTGAGTCGTCGGAGAGCGAACGGGACTCGGATATGGCGGGCAGCTCATCGATGGCGACAGCGGTGCCGATGGGTGTGCCGGAGGCAAAGCGTCATCATTTCCCTCGCAACGTATGCCTGATCGAGGAGCACGAGAGCACCGGCCTCGTCTCACAGGAGTCCTTCGACGATGAGCTGCCCTACATACCGACAACGCTGCCCGAGGAGCGTGCCCAGGGTGTGCCTTTGATCCCAATGAAGGAGCGCGCCAATATGGAGCTGAAGACATGTCCCGTCGACCGGCCACGCTCCACAACGCCGCTAAATCCCTCCCACCTGGAGGAGTACTGTACGGGCATTATGACGCCACAGGAGTCGCCGCATGCTGGCCAAGATGTGGACCCGGCTGTCGCAAGCGCTGGTCTTGTGCGCGGCGAGAAATTGCGCATCAGTTTGCCGCGCAAGGAGTCAGCGATCAAGGATAAGACGCAGGCCACCAAATCGCCGAGACGCATCTCGAATGCCAGCGGCAAATCCTGGTTCGAGTTCGCCGAGGAGGGACTACGTGCCAACAATCTGGAGCGCAAGGACTCCAACAAACAGCTGCTGCCGCCCGCTGCGACCACAGCAACCAGTGCAACCACAGCAACGACAGCGACCACCTCAGTTACGGCAAGTGCACCACTTGCTGTGGCCAGCGCACCACCAGCTGGCGGCCAGCCGCATAGCATGCCAGCCAGTTTGGAGGAGCCCAAAGCCAAATCTTCCACACAGCGCAAACTCTCCGGCCACTGGATCGACTTTGAAAACATTCCAGAGAAACGGAAGCCTGCCAAGCGGATAACCACGCTGCCCAAGGAGACAATAAGCACCACAACCACAGCGGCAATTTCGAGTGCAGCCTCCTCGGGCTCTGGCTGTGGCAGTGCACATCGTACCTCGTCCAGTCACTCGCATGCCCATCACAGCCATCATCATCATCATCATCATCATCAGCAGCAGCAACAGCAACAGCAGCGCCAGGATGGCGGCGCCATGTCAGCAACATCTGGCGACAAGCTGCACTACAACTATGTGAAGCCCGAGGATTGCCAGTGCGAGTGCCACGAGGCGGAACGTGGTGAATCCTCAGCTGCCACCACAATCACCGTGGACAAGGATAAGGATACCAGCACTGGCACTGGCACCGGCACTGGCACTGAAACCGGCAGCGATTCACTCGCTTCGGTTGAGCTGCTGCAGCAGGGCGAGGATATGCTGCCGCTGCTCGAACCCGAAACGCATGCGGACAACAGGTAACAGTCAAGCACCCAATTATCGATTATTACTGATCCTCTCCTTGCAATTCCTTGCAGGGTCTACACAGATGAGCCACCATCGCCTCCGGTGCGACACAGCAACAAGAGCGCTGCACAAAGAGTAAGTTGCGTCGACAACCAAGCAGAGATAGAGAGGGAAAGGCAGAGAGAGAGAGAGGGAGAGACAGAGAGAGAGAGAGAGAGAGAGAGAGAGAGAGAGAGAGAGAGAGAGAGAGTGAGAGAGAGAGAGATAGATTCATTCGTCTAGCACACCCAGTAGGGGTATCTCTCCTAAGAATCATTTAGTTTCTACACCCTTGTAGTTAGTTGGAGTAGTTCCATTCCAGAGATAATACGTGGTCTAATTTCTAAAAATATTGATTACAATTGAGGAGCTGAAGCGTTTACAAAAGGCATATGCAAGTGAACAAAATATAGCCCAAAAAAAAGTAATGAAAGCTTCAAATGTTTCCAAATCCAAATTCCAACTCCTTCCTAAATGAGCAATCGGATCAAGTAAATTTATATACACTCTCTCTCTCTCTCTCTCTCTCTCTCTCTATCTCTTTATCTCTCTCTTCAGCTGTTTAAATCATGTTCAATCATAACACTCAAATGATGTTTCTCTTTCTTTTGCATGTCCACTCAGTCGGAGGAGTTTCCACGTCGCGACGCTTCCTCCAGTTCCAGAAATCGCAAGTTTCCCGATAGAAAGTAAAATGTTTTTTTTTTTGTTATTTTTGTTGTGATTTCTAGTTTTTTTTTTGTTGACCTACATAACTATTGCATCTTCAGGGTAGCTAAGAAACAAAAAAATTGTCTCTATAAGTCGAGCAAAAGGCTACGAAAAGTCCTTGGGTTTATATCCTTAATGTATGTACCTCAAGCAGTGCGGTTGTTAAAATATATGAAAAAAAATAAAACAAAAAAAAAAAAAGAAGAAAATTTGACAAGCGCCTCATCGATATTCAGATGAAACGAGTATTTCCTTTCGATTCGATTTCGATTAGCTAAATATACTTATTATCGATAACATGAATTAAATAATATACTTATATATATATATATATATGTAACTAGGATAACTTTTTGATAGCAACAATTAACTCATATTTAGCATATACCTAGTGGATTATGTATGTATACACTATATAAGCCCCACCCCCTGCCCCTGCCCCCTGCCCCATCATTCCACTCGCTCGCTCACCCCTCCCATTTAGCCAAGTGCAACTGCTTTTCGGAGGCTGATTCGCTGACAAATTCGATGTGATCTTGAAAATGTTATGATTTATAGTACCTACTATATGTATGTGAATTATGATAAACTGATAGCTGATAGCTGATAACTGATAACTGATAACTGATAACTGATAAAAGCAATCTGTTGTATCTGTGTATCTGTATCTGTGTATCTGTATCTGTATCTATAAACTGTAACTGTAACTGCAACTTGTCAGATCCTAACACATAAGTCGCTTAGTATATATATATACAAATACATATGAATTGTGTAGTTCTTATCTACTACCTAAAGTAGCTCAGACAATTAACTTAATTCTGTTAAAGCTCAACAAACAAAGAAACAAAGAAACAGTTGCATCATTAGTCAGCGGTGGGTGCGAAACAAACTCGATAAGCAAATACGTCAAGCAACAAATATCATATATATATATACATATATATATATATATATGATAAATGGATATAACCTAATAACATGTCTGAAGACTGACAAACTGACAAACTGGTAACCTTTTTAGCATCTATCTGTGTACTTTATAACCGCCCACCAAATAAGAAGAAGATGAAGTTATCGCCTGTTGCCTGTTGCATGTTGCCTGCTGCATGTTGCCCGCTGCCTGCTGTCTGCTGCATTCTGCATTCTGCATTTGTGTGGCAAGCCTGGTCAGCATTGTTGTAGCCACCATTATTATATAATGTATGTAATGCTTCGGAATTCAGAATTCAGAATTCGGAATTATGTAATCGTAATCGTAAATAGCCAGCAAACTGCCAGCATTTTTAGTTTGCTTCGTTTTTCTTGTTTTTTGTTCTAGCAAATTGAAACTAGTTTCCCACACACACACACAACACACACACACACACAATCCAAGCGGCAGGTAGAAGAAACATGTTTAAGCGAACGAATATCGAGTACAGCCCAAATGTCATTAAAAACATATATATAAATTAAAGAAAATGAATAAAGAAAATGAATGAAAAATATAAAGATAAAGATAAAGATAAAGATGAAAAATCACACTTTAGCTAGGGTTTAAATACCAAACTGATTGATATTAGCGCAACGGACATTCATTTAATTGAAGAAAAATAATGAAAAAAAAAAAGGAATAATAATTCATAGGTAAATTATACAACAACTAAATACACATACACAAAAATCCAAACGAAAAAAAAAAAACAAACAAACAAAATAACAATATAATAAATGAAAAAACCTAAGAAAAGAAGAAGATTACGACATTAAAAATGTGCTAAAAATGATTATGAAACGCAATAAAAGTGAGTTTGAGTAGTTTTTAGGCACTAAAAATTCCCATTTACAATATTTGTATAATTCTTATGACAACATGAAGAGAGACAGAGAGAAAGAGAGATATAGAAAAGATAGAGAGAGAGAGAGAGAGAGTGTGTTTGTTTCTATACTTTCTCTTTTAGTAGATCCTGAACTTAAAAGACCTAAAGACAAATAAGCACAAAACTTGCACTTCAACTAATAATAAAAATAATAATACTATTAAATAAATTCTTCAGATTATATAAGAAATTATGCAAAATGTTACAAATTTGTACAATAATTTCAACACTATATTATATTGTATTGTATTGTACAACTATAAAAAAAAAAAACAACAAAAAAAAAACGAAAAAAAAAAAACAGAAACCATTTATATAGATTCCTTTCAATTTTCGACACTTCTTTTTCGGGATACCGTTATTAATGCTTCACACGTTTATATACATATGTATGTACTTATATAAAACTGATATTAATTTTTTTTTGTGAGCTTTTTTATTGTAAAATCTAATCAGAAAACCTAAGAACACTGGTAAAAGAAATCCAATACGAATACAAAGAGCAAAACTGTTGTTGAAAAAAATGCATTTAAGTAAAGAAAAAGTTAAAGTTTAATAAACAAAAACCAAAAAAAAAAAAAGATCTTCAATTGTTACAACAAAAAAAAAACAAATAAAATAAAAATAAAATAAAACTTTAAACATTCATATACATATACATATATACAAAAAACAAAATAAACAAAAACAAAACAAAAGAATTCAATGAACAAAGTACGATTGACGAGTTTATGCACTTTCATTATTTAACAACAATTCATACAAAACAAAAAAAAAACAACAAACAAAGAGAAAACCAAAAGAAACAAACATTGATTGAAAATTATTCATTAAAGTGGAAAAAGAAAAAATAAAAAAATAAAAAAAAAATAAAAACAAAACAAAGCATATTTAAACAAATGCGTATGTGGACTTTTTTTTATTATTAATTTGAACTTGGAACGGGAACTGAGCCAAGTCGAAGACTAAATCCATTTATATTTACATTTGCATTAGGATCCGGGGCAAGGGAGGCAAGGCGGCAGGTAAGGCATGTTCAGTGCAACTGATAAGCTGATTGGCATTCGTATCTAGAGACCCGCATTAATTGCCAGCGATTACAATTAGAATGTTTGTAAATGAATTTGGCAATCGCATTCACGTTGCCAATTTGTCATGATTACGCCGAAGTTGGTCGCGCATTAAGTGAACTAAGTCACAGTTTGCCAGTTTGGCAAATCAGTGCAGTTATGCAACCAGCAATCAACAGAAGTGAGAGCATGCAACACGTTGCCAAAACAACATCGTGACAACATCCCATTTGCAGCACAAGGAACACTGGCAACGGCATCGTGTAAACATTCAAGTAGCCACAACTGACCCGCACAACAGCGCAAGCGCGCTCTCTTCTCGCCTCCACGCGCTCGCTCGCTCTTGCGCTCTCTGGCATTAAAGTGCCATCTGGCGTTATGTGTGTGCACTATGCACTATGTGTATCGTAAATGCATTTGGTAATAAGTAAAACATTCACTTTTTCGACACACCAATGAAACAGAGAGAGAGAGAGAGCTGCAGGTGTGCGACTCATTTTGAGCGTTTCCACTGTGCACGTATACAAAATGATCACGTGATGTATCGCGAACATATGATATTAGTATTATGATAAGTGAAGTTAGTTCACTTGATAAACACATATTAAATGCCTCGCCAAGGCTAGCAGGAAATGTATAAATTTGCTAAAATTTTCTCATGTTGTGCATTTGTATATGAAATTATGTTATAGTTATTTTCATACGGAAGCATTCATGAAACGATATTGATAATCAATATCGTATACTTCAAAGTATAAACATCCCCAATTGCATGTGACCCCACCCTCCACAAACAAACCGTTGAAAACAGAAAAACCGAAGAAAAAAAGACGCGCACTCCCTCCCTCTCTCTCTCTCCCTCTCTCTCTCGCTCTCTCTCTCTCACACACAGATGCAGAGACAAAAACTGATGGGCGCACACACAAATGTGCGCTGGTGACGTCACATGAGAGCGAAAGCCGCTCTCTCTCTCTTTTTTATTGCTTGACACGCTCTGTGGCAGCAGACCTCGTGAAATCTGCAACGTTCATTATAACTACAATTCATTTACAAATCAGCAGTGGCACTGCAGAGACGTACACCGCTCGCCTCAAAAGTTGTTAACAAGCAATACAAAAAATTAATAAAGTGACCGAAATTCGAGTCGAATTGAGTTGCATTGTGAAATGCAGAAACGAAGATAAAGTGGTAAACAGAACAATTAGAAACTTCTGGAATAACGAGAAAGAGAAGTCAAAAGGAACTGTGTTGATTGGAAAACCGAATAGTTTTTTTTTTGTATCGAATTTTTTTTGATTGTGCTTGCCGTGTGCATTAAAAACAATAACAACAAGAAGAAGAAGCAAAACAGCAACAAAATGGCTTTCATGATGCCAGTGATGAAGAACAACTACGATATCTACAAGGATACGCGTGGACGCTCGCGCAAAACATCCGAGTGCTCCAATGCGAGTAGCAGCAACAACGGAACCACAACGCTGGCCACCGCTTTGGGTACACCTGCTGGTGGTGCTGGTCAGTCGTCGTCGTCGTCGCATCAGCAGCGGCGTCGCAAGGTGTCCGAATGCAAATCGGAGAGTTTTGCAGTGTCGCCGTCGCATGGACAGTTGGGGGGCGGTCATAGGATGCAGATGCAGCGTTGCCACAGTTCGCGAGGGTTTACGCGGAACGCGTCACGCAGCTCGCATAACGGTTCCATGCTGCAAATGCAAATGGTGTCGCCAACGCGTTCCAGTCCGCCCAGCCGGACACAGACCGCCTCTGCGCTGGAACGTCAGGCCGCTGCGCATGTTGCAGCGCAGTCGGCAGCGGCGCAACAGCAGCAGCAGCAACGATCGGAGCAGAGCAGCAACGATTATACCAAATTTCATTTGCGTCTGGTTGACAAATTGCGCAAGTCCTTTCGCAAGGACAGCGGCAAGCGGTCATGAGAACACGTCACACACCCAAGCAAAAACAACAGCAGCAGCAGCAACAACAATAACAACAACAACATTAATGGCTGGATGGAGTGCAGCGAAGCTGACAGCACACGCCTACAGCTGCAGCAACGCTCCGACGTCGGCGTCGTCCGCCGCTTAGGTCGCCGCTTCAAGCGCTGCTGCCAGGCTTTCGGCGCAGCCGCAATCGCAGCTGGCGCCGACGCTGCTGCATCGGCAACGGCATCTGAGCTGGACTTCAACGCTGGCAGCGGCGACAGCTCGGAACAGCTTACCGCCGTCAGTCCTTATGCCATGCGTCGCTGTCGGCGTCGCTGCAGTAGCAGTGGCAGTGGCGGCGGCGGCGGCGCCAGCAGCAGCAGCATCAACCGACTGAAGCTGCGACTGCGCCGCACAACGTCGTCGCCGGGCTAAGTGCGCAGCGCAGGCTTGCGCTGTGCAGCGTTGCATGGAATATGACCAAAATCGAATTGGAAAATTCAAGCGGAATTTCGAATATATGCGAAATGCTTGGAATGCGAATGCAAATGCGAATGCGAATGCAGCTGTAAAGGCAGACGATGAAGAAGAAGAGCGTTGCCAGATGTTGTGTCGATGTTAAACTGGGTCGATGCAGCTAAAGCAAAAAAGAGACCAACGGCGGCTAAGCGAGGGCAGAAGCAGCGGACAGTGGAAGAAGTGCTCATGCGGATGTGGTGGGGAGTGGGGGAGCGTGTTGAATAAGTTGGCAGCTGTTTGCAATATATTTTTGGGCTTTATTTTTAATTTGTAATTTTAACAAGTTTTCCTTTTAATTTATACATGCATCAAATATAAAATATTAGTCAACCATTTCTCTTCTTTACACACAAACATACATATATATACATATATATATATATATTTACATATATTTACATTTTCATAGGTATGTATGTATGTGCTTAACGTTCGTGAAACAGTGAAAAAAGGCTTCCACACAAGCACACACACACAGATAGTATATAGTATAGACTCAGACTCATGAGAAACCATAAAAGAAACAACCAACAAAGCTTAGTGTATTAAGCATAACGGTTTCGCCACAAACGGGAAACAAAAACAAAACAAACGAGACAAAATTGCAACTGCCAATTGCATTGTACAATAACAAGAACATAACACAATAAAACACAAAAAAAGAAAAAAATTACTAGCAAAAGACACTAAAAATAAACACAAGAATTTGCTAAAAAGAAACGAAACGTTGCAAAAGAAACACAAAGTTTAAATTTAAGCGCAATTAAATGACAATATATGTATATGTATATTTATTTATATAACATTATTTATATATATATATATATGTATTTACTTACAATTGTGAGCGAAAACAAAACAAACCTGAGCTGATATAAAAAAAAACAGACTTGACAAAATATATTATATAATGTTAAACATAATATTTGGTACGTTATAAATGCCATACAAGTGTACCTATACATACGTGTTATCACGTGTTATATATTTTTATTATTATCATTAGTATTATTATTTTTGTATTTTATTTTATTTTTTTTGCCTTTAATATACAATGGATTTATGCAAGTGCTTTGATTTTCTTAGTAATTAGTTTTTAATTTTGTTTAACATTAAACACAAAGAAAAAAGAACCAAATAAAGGAAATCGTTAAAAAACAAATGAATATATAAAATACAAATTTAGTTACTTCTTTGGATATGGGGCAAGAGTAGAGCGAGATAGAGAGAGAGAGAGAGCGAGACGAGAAAAGATTGAGTGATTCTATGCCAAATGCGCAGAAAAATGCATTGGGCGCCAGCCGGTCACAACTACGTATATACATAGTATACATATATATGTATATATAAACACTTATATATATATATATATATATATATATATATGCTTGAACCACCTTTTTGGGTGTGTTCAACTTGGACGCGCATTAGTCGCTTTTTAATGCGAAAGAAATTGCATGCGGAAGAGGAAGGGCTGCCAGGAAATCAATAGGAATGATGATGATGACAATAGAAATACAAATACAAATAAGAGTGGTAATCTGTTATCTACACACACACACACACATATGTGTGTGAACGTGTGTATATGCAATATCCTGTATGGCTGAGTAATATTTGTATACCCTGTACTTAATGCGTGCAGAGTAAAACGGGTATGCTGAAAAAGTATTTCATGGAAAGAGGGAAGCAACTGCGAATTAATTAAATTATATATTCACGATCAGCATCAACTAGACAAATTCAAACAAGATCGGATGAGAAACAGGCGAGTTATAGTCAAAAATATATTCTCTTAAAGTGATCTCTTTACTATCAGCGTAAATATGTTTTTGCGTGTGTGTGTATTATGCAGTTATTCTTCATTATCTGCGATTGCCTGTACGTGTGTGTGTGTGTGTCTATCTATGTACGATTTTTTGTCGAGAGCCGGCGATTTCAATTCGGACTTGTGAATAAATAAATACGCTTCATTTCTATAAGAAATAAGAGCGCTTTCAGGCATGCTTACATTTGGGTCTGCAAAGCGTTTGAAGGGAAATTTGTGAATAAAATAAATGGAAAATACTTATCACTTAACTTGGAAATAATGTTCCGTTTTCCTTATGTCCTGCTGTGGATGATTGTTGCCTAAACATATACTGCACTTTAGGGTATCTTTTTAAAGCATGTAGTTAATATACATACATACAGATGTATAAACATATATATGTTGATTGTCTTGGCATTGACCTATGAAGCTGCGGAGCAGAAGTCTGATCTTGATAACAAACAATCATAAATACTTTTAAGCCTACATATTTTTATTAAATTTTTTAGTCAAGCAGCAGAGCTGCAGTTTGTTTGTGTCTTTTGTCCGGCATGGGAGAAACAAAGGTAAATATTTAGAATTTTAAAATATGGAATGATGCTAATGAATCGATTGATCATTATAATATTCAATTCAATACTTTGAAAATCCGAACCGAAGAGAAGAGCTTCGACAATATGCTCTTTAAGTTGTGTTCCCCAAAAGTGTTCCCAGCAGAGCCTTTGACTAAATGTGAATCTCTTAACATTTGCACTTCGGGCATTTGGAAAGAGTAGTTATATATATTATATAACAAGTAAACTGTGTGGTAAATCAATTATTAGTTTCTTAAGCAAATATTAACATTAAGCAGACGTAACAATTGTCATCAAATGAAATGAGTCGAAGCGTAATTCATACAAATTCCGAGAGATAAATTGATCTGAGTGTTGGACTTTGAGCAGGAATACGCTCACAATTTCCCATTAAGATACAGATGTACGAAAGAAACCCAACTAGTGGCGTAATTTTATGATTGTTATTGTTATTGCTATTGATATTTTGCTGTTGTCATTCAATTAGTCATGTGAAGAAGCTAAAATTGAATTCTTTATTTTTTAATACAGTTGCAAGTGCAATGCAGATATGGAAATAAAGCCCAATATATATATATATATACATGTATATGTATATATATTTGGACATGTGTAATTTGATTTGAAGTGCTTAGAGTATCTATTTTGCAGGTGCTTATCAGGGGACTCTCACTGGAATGGGTCAGTTCGAGGGCTTGCCATATTTCCACTTCACATGTTAATAAACATTGCTGGCTATCGCTGAAATTAGTTGGATATATGCGATGTTATGGACTCATAAGTGTCAACTCTTGATTTATAGGCGGGTTTTTTCTTTCTTATTGGTTCAATAAATTAAATTGAATGATTGATGGTAAGGATGGAAAGCACTACGCAGCGAAGTGACGCATTATAATTGTCAGATACTTTATATTATAAGGAAAGTGTGGCGTTTAAAGAGCTCTCTCTCCCTCTCTCTCTCTCTCTCTCTCTCCCTCTCTCTACAAACCACGAGTTTTATATTTATTATTATGATTATTATTATTATCGCCAGACAGTTCCTACGGTAGACGTATGATGCTTTGATAAAGTCGATTTTCACCAATTTATATTATATATTATATGTTTATGTACGCATTTATAGGGACGATGTGAATGTACCTCATATATCATCATATATGTTCACGACAGACCAATTTAACAATCAGTGAGAATCTTAAGAGAACGCCAATTGATCGACGTGTGCATCAATATAAAAGTGCGACTGGTTGCTTTTTGTCATGCTTCATCAAATCGAAGTGCCAAATCGAATGCGTCTGACGCAGTCCAGCAAATCCATTCGATGCAATAACATCTTATATGTTGTGTCATACACTGCACTGTGTAAATGTTGCTATAACTATAACTGTAACTGGAACTGTAACTGTTGCTCGTTCTGCTCGTTCGCAACATGCCCGACCCCATCCCACTATTCTTCCAATGACGTTTTCATATTTGCGCTTCTTCTTGTGTAATTTCGTTTTTCCTATCTCTCACCATCTCCAATTTTTTCTATCTTTCACTCACTGTCTCTCTCCCTCTCTCTCTCTCTCTCTCTCTCTCTCTCTCTCTCTCTGTCATTCTTTCTGTCTGACGCATGTCAAGCCAAGTAACAATTGGGCTGGCCTTGATACGCGCTAAGAATTGTAGCCTTTGTTTTTGTTATTGTTACATTTCAGTTGTTTCAATTCTATTTGCTAATTTACGACTCGGTCGAGGCCGTTTTCTCTTGCTCGCCACATTTTTGTGCTATTTGTATGTACATGCATGTATCCATGTACGTATGTGTGTGTAAGTGTGTATGTGTATGCATGTATGCATGTATACCCTGCGCCCATGAATTGATTAAACTAAGGTATTCTCAAGCAGTGCAAAAGTAACGTTCTAATGTAATTGAGTTCAATCGCTTCGGAATTGCATCTTCCACAAATTAGAATCTTTTATAAGGATTATCAAATGTTTAGATATGAATTATAATAATGGGAAAGCGGTGCTTTAATATTTTGTTTTGATTGCAGGGTATTCGCCAGCGAGTAAGTTAAGCTAGAGAGATTCTTATATGATTTTTCGATGCTTAGGCGAGGCAGCAATA